AACATAGTTCTCTGCATTAATGGTGCCTTTCCAGACATGCAAGCTGCTCATGCCACAAGCGCTCATGCAACCCCATACCATCAGTGATGCAGGCTTCTGAACGGAGCGTTGATAACAACTTGGGCTATCCTTGTCCTCTCTGGTCCGGATGACAAGGCGTCCCAGTGTTCCATAAAGAACTTCAAATCGTGACTCATCTGACCACAGAACAGTCTTCCATTTTGTCACACTCCATTTTAAATGACCCCTGGCCCAGTGCAAACGTCTGAGCTTGTGGAGCTTGCTTAGAAATGGCTTCCCCTTTGCACTGTAGAGTTTCAGCTGGCAACGGCGGATGGCACGGTGGATAATGTTCACTGACGATGCTTTCTGGAAGTATTCCTGAGCCCATTCTGTTATTTCCTTGACAGTGGCATTCCTGTTTGAGGTGCAGTGACGTTTAAGGGCCCGGAGATCACGAGCATCCAGTAGAGTTTTACAGCCTTGACCCTTACGCACAGCGATTGTTCCAGATTCTCTGAATCTTTTGATGATGTTATGCACGGTTGATGATGATAACTTAAAAGTCTTTGCTGTTTTACGCTGGGTATCACCATTCTGGTATTGCTGATCTTTCTACGCAACAATGGTGGAATTGGTGATCCTCTTACCATCTTGGCTTCTGAGAGACACTGACACTCTGAGAAGCTCTTTTTTTACCCAATCATGTTGTCAATTGACCTAATTAGTGTTAATTGGTCTTCCAGCTGTTCGTTATATGCTCAATTTCCTTTTTCCAGCCACTTATTGCTACTTGTCCCAACTTTTTTGGGATTTGTTGACACTGTGAAATTTTGACTCAACATATTTTTCCTTTAAAATGTTACATTTACTCAGATTAAACTTTTGATCTGTCATCTATGTTATATTACGAATAAAATATTGACATTTGCCATCTCCACATCATTCAGTTTTTATTCACAATTTGTTTAGTGTCCCAACTTTTTTGGAATCCGGTTTGTACTAAATACATTATATTTGATCTGATATGTTATTTTATGTATTTGATGTATGCCAACACATTTGACCTTTGTTCCCCCTTCCTCTTCAGGTGGGCTCTCCTTCGGCCCTCTCTGATTTTGATCTGAACCAAAAGCTGCGTCAGGCATCCATGCAGCATGGCAGGACACTTTATGTCCCCAGTGGTGCATTATGGGGAGGCCAGGACATCCAGAGGATGAACGACAGTGGGACACTGAAGGTACCACAGATAGAAAAAAAACCCAGTTACTGTGAGAATTAAAACGCATCATTTGTTCTACCCACCTGCTGTCCTTGGGTCAAAATGTAGCCTCAGGGGTCATTTTGATCAAAAGGCAGCAGTGGGGTACATGAACATAGCAGCTAAAGAGTGTTTTTTTTTGTGTGTAAACAATTCTTTTCAGGCTTTGTTTATAAGAATGTCTAAGCATCCATCCTGCTTCCGACTGAAATCAGACGTCCTCGCAGATTGGGAGGAAGGAGAGGGACGGCGTGTTTTATTCAGAGGCTCGGTGGCAGAGTTGTGCCCACTTGCTCCCAACAACGTCAACACCATGGCAGCGGCGGCGATGGCAGCAGGAACACTCGGCTTCACTGGTGTTCAGGGAGAGATTGTATCAGACACAGAGTGAGTCTTCGTTTCGAATCAAGTCAACTTTATTTATTAAGCACATTTAAAACAGCAGCAGTTACCAAAGTGCTTAACAGTAAAATTAATGGGAGTAATTTCATGGGGGGGGGGGGGGGGAATAAAAATATGGATAGGACTGAAAATTAATTACAAGCATCGAAAGGAAAATAGAGAAAGAAAGGCAGAGCAATGAAACACTAAATCAAGTCACACTGTGTAAAAAGCCAGAGAAAACAGGTGTTTTTAGCTGAGATTTAAAAACAGGAAGTGAAGTGGCCTGCCTGATGTTGGGGGGCAGATTGCTCTAAAGTTTGGGTCCCCCGACTGAAAAAGCCCGATCACTTCTGAGGTTCAATCACGTTTTTGGAACAGCTAAAAGCAGATGGTCAGATGATCTCAGGGCCAGAGAAGGAACATATGGTTCCAGTAGCTCAGAGATATGAGCGTGCAAGGCCATTACGGCAGTTAAAGGTTTAGGAGAATATTAAAATCAATTCTGCTACATACAGGGAGCCAGTGAAGGGAGGACAAAACTTACACGAGTTCCTGTTAATAGCCGAGCTGCAGCATTTTGTATGAGCTGGAGACGTGAAATGGAGAGCGGACTCACCCCAACATACAGTATTCCAGTCAGGTAGTGATAAAGGCATGGGCTAGTTTTTCAAGATCAGATATGGACAACACTGACTTAAGCTTAGCTATCTGCCTTAAATGGAATAAGCTTTTCTGCAGAACAAAGATGATTTGTTTATTAAACTTACAGCCAGAGTCTAAAATTATCCAGAGATTTGTAACAGACTGCTTAAGATATGGTGAGTTGAGATTTACAGGATCAGAGACGGCGTTAGAGCTAAACACGACTTCAGTTTTCTGATCATTTGAAGCCATCCATGCCTTGATGTCATCCAGACATTTTAACAGAGGATGAATATATCCAGAAGTATTAGGTTTTAATATTGAGGCTAAATCTACAATCAGCATAACAATGACAGACTGCGTTTCCCCAGGATAATCAGAACGTATGAAGGCATTTTGTTTTTGTCAGAATTATCTGTTTTCAAACTCCTCCAGGTTGAGGGACTATCACATTGTGGAGGTGGAGGTGACTGGGTCCGATGGTTTCTCCGTACACACAGTCAGGAGGAACCCAGCCAGACTGGGAGCTGTGACTGGGAGTGCAACTTACCAATCCTTCTGGAACAGTTTACTCAGTGAGTCCCGAGTTATTTCTCAACATTTTCCAAGAGTTTTTATTGTAAAGAACCAAAATACCTAAAAGCTTGTGAAACCAGACCTCATATAAAGAGATTTGACATTTTGAGAAGCAGAAGTGTACATATTTAAAAACAGCAGCTTTAAGGTGAACGCTCTGCGTTGCTTGTGTTAAAAACATTTTTACAAGAATCTAATACCAACTTATTGTCCCTGAAAGTTTGTAAAGGTCACGGAGGCAGAGTTTACTTGTGCTGAAGAGGATGAGGAGGTTTACCTACAGCATGGGAGGAAGATTCCCGTCCAAATTCCACATAAATTAAATGGATCACATTGGATATGCTGTATGGATGGTGGTGTTATGGAGCCTGTTCAAACCCCATGACCTATGTGTTTCAATAAACTGAATGCACACAATGAAAGAAGAGTCAGATATCATTTGTAAAATACTAACAGGTGTATATATATATGTATTTATATATATTTTATCTTTATTATAAGTTCATTATCTTGTACAGCACAGGAACAAACAACTTTTACAGTAGAGTGACAGTGACAGTATACAGCTGGTAAAAACCATTTTATTCATTCCTAAACTAAATCATGAAGACGTATCTTTAGCTCCCTTTTAATCTCTTCTGAAAATATAGCAACCATTTGAAATTGCAACGCGGTTTTGCCTTCTTTTTCTCACACATACGCATCTTTCTCCCACAAATAAATACTTTCTGAAACTGGGAAATTGAGGACCACACGTGCACGCACATTTACACAGATGTGCATGTTTGCTCAGCATTGGAAAAACCGACGCAATAAGGCGAAGATGCAAAGTGAGGAAAAAAACAAAAACAACATTCTTAAAGCGAGAGCATTTTCACGATTCCTTTCTTGAAGCTACTTGTTACTGTGCATCTTGTTTCACTTTTGGGGAATTGTAGAGTAAACGAGGCATTTGGAATAAAGCTACGACAATGCGAACAGTTCTGCTTTGAATGTAAAAATATGACAAACTGGTAAAATGAAGGAGGGTTATGCCGTTTTCCCTGCTATGATCCATGTTTGAATCAAGTATAAAACCCTTTTCTAGAAACTAAACATTAAATCTGCTATTTTCTCAATGCTTTAAATCTAGATTATCCAGTGTTAGTACACTACTAAATCCAGCAATACTATTGTCTGCATTTACTCTTCCCAAAGATTGCATTGCTGGTGTAATATTGAAACCAAAACATATCAAACGGGCTGATAGTTTTAGAAGTTCTGAGGTACAAACTTGTTGGGAAGACACTAACAGTTGTATTTTTTCCCCCACCAAAAGCCATAGCTAAACTCATCACACACTAACGCAGCTGCACTCAAGTATAAAGTTTGTAGTGCAAGGATGACTAATGATCGCAACAACTAAGTTTCACTAGTGAGGTTCTCCATGATTGGATGCATGTTTGTGTTTGTGTGTGTGTCGCTCAGTTTTTATCGCTCATCAGCTCATCGCCGTTCGCGTCGGCTCCCAGGACGGCAGAGACTTTGTTTTTAACTGGCACGTTGTAGGGCTGGCGGATGTTCACGCGGTCCTTTTCTGCCTCCAGCTCCTCGTCGTAGCGCTCGTCTTCCTCGTTGTCCTCAGCCTCGCTGTGGTGCGGCGAAGAGTGGCGGGACAGAGCCGGAGACGGAGGCACGGAGGCAGGTCTGGGGTAGCGGAAACCTGCGGTCTGTGAACGAAAACAGGATTTCAGTCAGAGGCAGAAAATATAAACATATTTGATCAATTATTAACATCTGACAAATTAACTCACTGAGGCGGTCTCTTCAGGTTCATACACGTAGGTGTCAGGGAAGGCTTTAGCCAGGGCCATATGACGAGCAGCAATGTAAAACTGGAGAAAAGAAGGAGGTGAAAAATCTATTTGAAGGTAATAAATGGAAGAAAGAATGTTTAGGATTTGTAATCTTACCCTGCCAAGGTATCTCCAGTCCAGGAGGTCACTCAGGCGTTCAGTGCGATTCCTCTGGATGATCCGCTGGCGCCGACTCTGCTTGCAGAACTGGAACAGGAAGGATGTGAGCTGGTTGCACGACTCGTCAACCGCCTTGTACCGACGATCAAGGATGTAAATACCTGTTAAAAAGGAAAGCTGCAGTGTGAAATCCAGCACCACTGATTCATGTTGATCTTTGAATATTAAAAAGATACGTACCGTACGATGTAGGGTCTGCTATGTGTTCTTCCATAAAACATCCAAAGCCTGACAGGTTAGTTGAGATAGAAGGAATCCCCATGACTGTGCACTCAGCTGGAGACGACAAACATGAAGTCATTCTTACATGAAACATGACAAGTCGACCGTATTTTTCAGATTATAAAGCGCATTAAGCGAAACAAAACAGATAAGTCAAACTTTATTCAACTCATTCACAATAACCACATAAAATTAGATCGAGGTCAATAAGCACTCTGCTCCGGCCAACGAGCAGTCGGGCCTCCGACGACGGTGAAAAGGTCCAAGGGCTGAAGCCCTGGATTGAACTGCGCGCGAGAAGAAAAAAGGAACAGAGCCGCGGATGACGCCAGGTTATATAGCCTCTGATTGGTCATCCGTGTCACACCTGTGACTCCGTTGGTATTATTACTCGAACAGCGCATGCATGAAAGGAACGTTCAGTGCTTTCAGCACCGCCCTCTGGCGGTCAGGAGGGATGAAATAGAACCAGAAGTAATACATAAAGGCACACCTGATTATAAGGCTCACTGTCGATTTTTGAGAAAATTAAAAGGATTTTAAGTGCGTCTTATAGTCCAAAAAATATGGTACATGTGGATCAGTGTTCACAGGCTTACCTGGGGTGTAGCCCCAAGGTTCATAGTAAGAAGGGAAGACACCGAGGTGGCAACCTCTGACAAACTCCTCGTAATCCATGGGAAGCAGAGGAGAGGTAGACGAAAGGAACTCTGGATGGAAGATAATCTGTGAAAGGAGAAAAAAAAACAACAACTCAGTACCAGGCAACTGAGACCTTACTAGACTACCATCGGAAATAAAGTGGCTAATTCCTGCAGACCTATCCAATTTCTATACACAAACTTGCTAAAACGGTGATACGTTGTACCTTTACTCTGTCAGCAGAGCTGTTGAAAAGGCCGATGCGGCGGACACAGTTGAGGATGGGGTCGCTGCTGTCCTCCAGCATGTTATGGGTACAGACTGGAGGCTGGCTCTGCCTCTGAGTGGCAAAGATGGCACGCTTCATGATGGTGAAATCCTCTTTGTCTAGCATCTTTGACACATCTGGCAGCTGCCCGCTAATAGAAAAATAGATTAAAAAATCAGCCTTTTTGCAAAGAAGTAATGTACATCTAATGAAAAACTTGAATATTTTGCTTGTGAACTTAGATTTCTGTAATCAGTGGGGAATGTTCCACATCATGAAGTTATTGAGTTAGGATAAAACAGTCAACTTACACTAGTAGTGACTCGTAGAGTTTCTTTCCAAAGCGCTCCTTCACAGTCTGAGCAGTATCCCTGCCGAGGACAAGTAAGAAAATATAAATGAGCCTTTAGGCTAAAAATAAGCATTTTCAGTTTGACGCTTATTTTAGAAACAACTAGACCCACAGCGTCTAAGAAAAGCACCCTCACCAGAGCTGCTTCCTGACTGCTTGTCCCTTCAAGGTCTCCACGTTGAAGTTGTTTGTTCGAGCTGGCATGATGAAGAAAGCTATAACAGTCACGTCACTGTGGTTGACCTGCGCAACACAGAACTTTAACAGCTCACATTTGAGGACATCTAAACACCCAAACACTCGGTGAGACTGCTTCACACACTTACCCTCAGCAGATAGTTGAGCCTGGCTAAAGCCTCCAAGAAGATGTCGGCTCCTTTGTTGGAGAATTCATACCTTCCAGCTATGAAGAGGAACAAACACTTGTCCAGGTTGAAGTCAAGGTGCCTGATGAACGAGACAAACCGATATTAGCCCAGCACCTCCAGAGTATACATTTAGTTACAATCATTATACCACGTTGCATTATATATCTATTTTCCTTCTGTTTACCCGTAGAAGTGTCCCCTGACGAACTCCTGAATGCGACTCTTGCTCTGAGCGTGGAGGTTTTGAAACTCGTGCATAGCAGAGAACTTCTTCACGTTGAGCCCATTGGGAGTGATAATGTCTGTGTGAGGTGGTAAACGTTCAGGGCATTAGATCCATGACATAAGCAAAGAATCAGTTACGTGCTGATGAAGTACAAGTCAGCCAAACAATTTGCCCTTTTCATTGACAGGGAGACTAAAAACAGAAAGCTAAAACCATAAATACATCATATCTACAGTTTATGCAATGACACTAATGGTGAATCCAACTTCACCGTTAACCCCCAACACTTAGCCACAACCATACTGGTGTCCCAGTTCTTTTTGAAATGTTTGGAGTAAAGTGGTATGCCTATAAAAGGCCTAAAATTGACAATTTTTCAGTGGCACACTTTAAACCAAATAAAACACTGACAAAGATACTAATAAATGTAAGCAATTTATAAAAACTGTTTACAAAAAAAAAAGTGGAATATCAGTAATTCTTCAATTACAATTTTTTAATCAAGCAAAGAACTCAGACCATAGCCCATCACCTAACTTGATCACATTTATACTTAAAATTATTTACTTGGCGTTTATGTACATTATCCCTTTTTATTAAAAAAACAACAATCAAAGAGTCAGTCCACCCTGCAGTTTGAAGTTATTCTGTATTACACTTGGATTCATAGAGAATTTTTCTCAACAAGAATAATATTAATAAAACATCTGAATGCAGATTAACTCAGCACGCCAACTCATGTAGAAATTATAGTTAAAACATGTCAAGTCTGTGTGCAGACAAGTAATCAGCAACTAACAATAACATATTTGCTTCTTAATGAAGTGATCTGTTTTATAGAAACATATTTTAAAACACTACCCCTCTTCATTTAAAATTAAGGGCCAAACAAACATTTAAAATCTAGGCGTGGGGGTAAGAAGATTACATATTATATAATCTCTGCGTCGTTAATGAATGAGAACAGAATGAACCTGGTTTCCTCTTGAGCAGGAACTCTGCCTCGATGGCTGTAATTTGCGACACTGTGGTGAAAACATGAGTGCAGTGTGCGGCCGCTCGCTCCAAACAGTATCGATGGTAGATCTGTCGATCCCCTGCTTCCTTATCCACATTGAACTGAGCGAGACACAAACACAAGATGATGTTAAGTGTTTGTCATTATCATTAAACTCCAGTGCTGAGTTAATTAAATTATATGATATTGTATTCTTTTTAAGTTTACTATCAGAAGAATCTAAATTAACAGTTGCTGAATGACTCTTTCTTGGATTTCATAATAAAATATTACAATGGATATAATAAATATCCATACCTCTGCGAGGTTGTTGTAGAAGTCCACGTTTCCAGCACACAGGTAGCGTCCCAGCAGCGTAGCGTGAGTGGTGAATACAGTTGCAATGGGCAGCTGTCTCTGTCTGCACAACACCAGGCCCAGGCCAGCCAGCCACTCGTGGAAGTGAGCCACAATGTGTGGAGGCTCCTCACTCTGAGCTGCATACTGAAAAGCAAACATCTTTTTGGTTATAAATGCAGACTGTAAAGCTGGAAGTGAAAATTTGAGCCTGTCCAGTCTGTTACTGGGAGTTTTCTATGATTAAGAGTTAGCTCTTGTGCACTGCAAGGCAAATTTATTTTTTTGTTTAGCTCAAGAGAAAGTGTCACCGGGGCAAAACCTTCAGCTCATGCTTTAGTTTATTGTGAATTGTGATGTTTATTCTGACAGGTTGAAGCCTTTCATTTCTAGTTTTTACTCGTTTAATCCACTCTTTGCCAGCAAAATCTTCCCTGTATCACTGATATTAATACAAGCCCAGAGCATGTCATACTCACTACCGTGTTCAACAACTGATGAGCAAATCTTGTAAGAAAACTCTGTAGCATTTTTTTTTTTTACATGTTTTAGTCCCCAAGGATCCTCCAAAAATACACTTTACCTTCACCACTGCACAAAATACTTTTTCAAAAGGTCTCAGACGTGCTTCAAATACCTGAAAATGTCTAACTACATATTTTGTATTTCAAATATCCTTGAATACTCGTATGAAAAAAAATACACATTCTTATATTAGAACCGTAATTATTCCTAAATCTCTTATGTAACCAAATAAGGGTTTTATTTTGCTTTTCAAACCCATATTCCTTTTTTAGAAGCTAAGTTTTTAGATTTTAACTTCCTGACTAGATAATGTAAGAAAAAGCCTGAATTATTATTTTTTTTTTAATTATATAACGTCCTTCTATAATTTTGTTATTGGTCAGAGTGCTAGATGTCTGCGATACTCTGAGACAAGGTGTGATGCATATCATTTTTAACTTTCCAACCGTTATCCGAACAAACCATTTGAATTTTAAGACCTTAGTAAAAGTTGTATGAGTAATCAAAAATTTTGTTTAGGTAATTTTAGCAAAAAAGTTTTTTTGAACAGGCTTTAAATTGTCACCACCTTGCTGGAGGTGAAATGTTCATTTCCATGTGAAGCAAATAAAATATAATGACCAAAAGTGATCAAACCATGCTACCGACCTCTCCCAGAAGCCAGGCAGTCAGGAAACCAAACAGCACGGCATCGTTGGCCTCGCGGTCAAACCATGGCACACCGATTCCACAGTGCTCCCACAGCTCGCTCTTCCAGCGGTCCAGAGACCAGGCGGTGAAGCCGACATCAATCAGAACCACATAGGGGCTGCCTTCAATGAGCCAGCGACCAAAGTAAATCTATGCAAACACGGGGAGAAAAAATGAGGGCAAAACTATTTTATTCCATATGCAATATCAAGGTTTTCTAATATGAATGAACTTGTATAGTATTATTTCCTTTTATAAAAAAAAACTATTCAGAGTTAGTCTTTTTGACACAAACTGTAGGCATTAAGTCTGCTGCTAAAAGCTTTAAGATTAAAATTTCAATAGACCATTAGGACTGAAACAACTGAGAATATTTTATACTTCCACCTGTTGGGCATGATTAACTGTGAGAAACAGGCTTTGTTGTAGCAGCTGAGCGGTTCCTTTAAAACTAGCATGGCTTCCAGCCTTGACACATAAAACCATAGCTATCCTCGAGTGACACAGCACAAAACCTAAGAAGAGTCACACTCGCATCTATTTCTGGACCGTCAGTGTGAAAGAGAAAGAAATGGGGGACACAGATACAACCTCTGACCTTTGTGAAGAAATGTCAGCAGGTTCAGTTGTGATCAGTGATGGGGTACCAGTAGGTTAAATAAAAGAGGAGCTGAGAATAACTATCACATGTCTCTTTACGGTTTCTCTGTGTGCATCTGTTAGCAAAATATCTCATGACTCTCACATGAAAGGAACCATCAGATGTGCAGCTACAGCTGAGTAACTTTTGGAATCAAGTCAATTCAAAATAGTCACCACAGCTAATCAAGAATAAACAAAAAAAAAATGGCTATGATGCATTCAATCACACAACTATTGAGGTCAAATGTGATGTGGCAGTAGCTGAAAATCATTCACAACATGCTCCGAGTGTCAAATTTTGCATTCTCAAGGTTCAACCAAAACGACTTTACGTTTGTAATTTCACAGCATAAAATGATATGACGTCATCTATTCCTTCCTTTAATTTCTAATCACGTTTCACAGCTCATATTCACAAACTCCACACTTTATTTACTCCAGAGATAAGTACTGGTGGTCAGAGTGATTGTCCTTCAGTGGAATATGTATACTTTTACTAAGTATTTGTGGTAGTACCTTACACCCACTGGAGTTCATTTTGTCAATGGTGCTCTTCAGCACCGGGTTGGTGGGCTCAATCAGCTCCACTTGCGTGCGCACGTTACTCTCCACATAGGGACCCACGAGGAAATAGTTCTCTCCCCATTCCTCTGCGGTCATCCGAGCTTTGGTCTGGATGACGGTGTAGATGCCTCCAACTTCAAACAAGCCACACACACAAAGTCAAAGACAAAAATAGGACTCCTGCAGGTAAATTAAAGTTTGGTTTTGAGAAATCTAAGCTACGTGTACAGAAACAACAAAACTTGCCTTTGTTAGCAACCTCCCAAGCTATTTCAAAAAGAACAGCATCCTCCAAATCAAACTCCTCATCCCAGTCTTCAAGTCCTGACAGGGACGTGACGGACAGGCTACGAGCCAGAGGCATGCTGGGTGAAAACAGAACACGCTCAGCCGAGAAGGGAACTGCGTGCATCCACACAAAACATGACTAATGTGGTGAACATTTTAGCTTATAAAACTTTATGTTGACTAAAAAAATGGATACAGCATAACAAAACTTATATTTTATGCCATATGATCTCGTGTAAGTTTGATTTTAAACCACATGCCTGACCTACGAAGCCTAACGTTCATTGTAATCAACAGGTTTACCTCAAATGCAACTTCCTATTGATCAACACATTAGCTCATTGTGCTGTAACCGCAGCATTTCTCAATTCTTTTCTATTTTTTTTTAATATAACAAACAGCTTTCTGATGTTTGAAATATAGACTACAAGCTCACATGGTAAAATTAACGCCGAGAAGTAAAGCACACATCCAACACATAGAAGTCAACGTGTGTAGCGTCAAAGGAGGAACATAGAAACACATATGGACCTCCAAATTAATTTTGTTTGTGAAAATTAACAAATAAATGTCACAGTACACTACATCATAATGTTGACAGGTAATGGCCAAACCTTGTGAACAAGTTTTGGAATGGGAAGGATGTTGGTTTAAGTCACTGATCAAGTTCAAACTTGATTCAGTGACTTTACTCTTTATATGTTGTAAGCGCATGAATTTGAGACACATGGATAACCTCAAATAATGTGCCAGTGTTCATGTCAAAAAAACACAACGTGATACATGGGAGGGTCTTTTCCACCTGTAGCACAACTCAACCCACAATTCTCATATTATTTTCAGGTTTAGTGTTTGTGTGTAGCTGCAGCTGAGGTGGACATGATGGGAGACACACAATGGACTGGATGTAGGCCCAAATGGGCAAGACTAACCTCATGATAAAAGAGACCTTTTACACATTGATGACTGATATTATCCTTATTAGTCTATGTAGTGATTTTCTAAAGTTCTCAAAAATATTTACAGATTTCATAAAAAAGTAAAGTGAGTTGAATGAATGAACAAAGCAAAACACCACATTTGGCGAAAACAAACCTTCTCAGTTTTTGTTTTAGGACCCTCCGGCTTTCCGTACTGCGTCTGATGGTTTAACTAATTAGCCTACCTGGCTCCATCAACAATCAATTTACGCAGAACGCTTTTTTTATTTTTTATTTTTGTGACCTTGTTCCCATCCGCGTACTTTTCAACTACTAGGCCCGCAGTTGTAAAACCGAACCGAATCGAACCCTGTTGAGACAAACCAGACTCGTGTGCAGGCAACAGGGACCCAAAAGCCTTTTGCAGTTAACGGTTCCCCGGTCTGCACGCGCATGCCGATGTATAAATGTTCGATGCGAAGCGAACGTGACTTTAGGCACCTACAGCAAAGCAGACGCTGACTGAGAGGCGTGCCTGTGCGCGCGCCCGTTAGCAACTATTCAACCGATGCCGTAGGATGCAAAATATCAAACAAAACACAGGACTCACCTTTCGGTTTTGACCCAACTTCACGAAGATTAGCTAAACATCAACAGCTGTCGCGGTCAATCCCGAAAGGTTGATAACAGTGGAGTGAGGAGAAAGGGGGCGGTGGCTTCGGTTAAATGTCAGCGACTCGGCATCGGTTTGCTTCAGACCGCTGTGGTGCTGAGGAACAGGACACCAGAAAAAAAAAAAAAAACCCGGAATCCCTGCTGTCTCATTATTCATGAGCTTCACTCTTATTGGTTGCGGTCTACTTTTTGTCCCGCCTCCGCTCCTATAGCAAGGATGATTGGTTGCTTTCTTTAGCAGCAAGATGCGATTGGCTGAGCAGAATTTAAAGGGCCCTTCATCCCTGAGAAGGGGTTTCCACCATTTATTTCAGCGCAAGTAGCGGCGCGCCAAGCAGAGGCGGAATTTGCATAATATGAAAAGAAAAGGATTATCAGCTGGTATGCGTTCACCAAAACCATGACTAATACAAATATATTAAAGATGTTTTTTCTTTAAAGAGTAAAATATTGTCCTGAATTCAATAAAAAAGTAAGTAAATTGGCTGAACATTAGCCAGCAGGTGAATTATTGTACATTTAATATCTATATTTTACACCCATGTTTCCACGTTTATTGACACAACAACTTTTATTTACTCTAATAGGGCATGCCTTTTTAGCCCATTGGGCTTAAGTGGTTCCCTTAGTTTATTGTGATATAAACTGGTGCCAATATTCTTTAGCCGGATCATGCGCCGGTGACACAATGAGAAGCAGACCCACTGGTTAGTGGGGTTTAGTGCATGGCAGTTTTATATTACTTTTATTTTAAGCGTGATTGCAAAACTCTTGAAGATTATTAACTACAATAAAAACTCTCCAGCCCAATGGAAGGCTCATATGCACAGAAATGTTTGCTAAATGAAATGAAGAAAAGTAACTAAGCTGTGATTATGCTTTTATGTTTTCCTGCTAGGTAAAACAAAGCAAGACGGTCATAAGTCAAAGGTGATCAACATTCATATAGGAGGTTTTGGAAACAACATGACCTGTGGCATTATAGGACTTCTAAATACTCTGCATATTTCTAGGCCTCTCTGTTTAACACTTGGCATTTTCCGTCACCACATGAAGCCACTGACCTGCATTCCTTGCGTATCCTGCCAGGTGACCCCTGACCTCAGTATGTATATGTTAGACAAGAAAGCCCACAAACATTAATATATTGGGTTAAAAAAATAACAAAACATTATATTAATTTGTGGAAAGGACGTTTATTTTCAGAAAATCTTCTTGTCGAAGTTGCAGAGCTCTTTTAACATTTTAGGTTGAGTTCAAATTTACAACCAAAGCTGAAAATCATGGGATAGCCTCAACAGTGTCTCTAGCTAGCTATGACTGGCTAAAACATGTTTCTTAGACACATGATTGTATATTGTTTTTCAATGAAATATCTAAACAATGTGAAAATGATTAATCATGTCATTAGTAGATTAGTATTGCTTAAGAGATAAGACAAGATAGAACTTTATTGATCCCGCAGGAAATTGTTGTGCCAGAGTTTCAAGGAAGGACACAAGGAATCACACAAGATAAAAAAAAAAAAAAGAGAGACTATAAGAATACCAGCAATTAAGGTCTAAAACAGGTCAGGTGCAGACAGAAACAATAGCATATTGTGGTGCAGGATTAATTTTATGGTCCTATGTGTATAAAGGGGGAGAGGAAGGACTTCATGTGGCGTTCTGTGGAGCACCTCGGTGGTCTCAGTCTACGACTGAAGGTGCTGCGGTAAAAGTCCAGGGTGTGATGCAGGAGGTGTGACGTGTTGTTCAGGATCTGGAGCAGTTTCCTCAGCATCCTCTGCTCAGACACCTCTGTCAGAGACAGTTCCACTCACAGAACTGAGCCAGCTCTCTTGATGAGTTCATCGAGTCTGTTGGCATCAGCTTTCTTCACCCAGCTCCTGCCCCACCACACCACAGAAGACACTGGAGACCACAGAGTGGTAAAACATCTGCAGCATGGTCCTGCAGACGTTAAAGGACAAGAGTCTCCTCAGAAGAAAAAGGCGACTCTGCTCTTTCTTGTAGAGGACGTTTGTGTTAGCTGTCCAGTCCAGTTTATTGTCTAGGTGGACCCCCATGTACTTGTAGCAGTTCTGTGTCCACCTTAGTACCCTTGATGTTGATAGGGTTGGGGGGGCTTATCTTCTTCCTGTAGATCACCTGCAGCTCTTGATCTGACTGAAAAATGTTGGATTTTATACCTGGATTATTGAGCATGGACTTTGTTGCAGCTCTTTAGTTTTTCCAAAGTTGAGCTGTAGGTGGTTCTGTCCACCCACCTCTGTATTCAGCTTCTTGGTCACCAGTGATGCAGCCCACAATGGCAGATACATTGAGAACTTCTGCAGATGGCAGGATTGTGAGTTGTACCTGAAGTCCGAAGTGTAGAGAGTGAACAGAAACGGGGATAGGGCCGTCCCCTGAGGAGCCCCTGTGCTGCTCAGTATGGTGTCCAAGGTGGTGTTCTGCAGCCTCACACTGTGGCCGACCTTGTAGGTAGTCTCTGATCCAGGTGACCAGCGAGTCATTCACCTGCAGAGTGGAGCAGGTCTCATGGTGTTAAAAGCACTGGAAAAGTCAAAGAACATGACTCTTACAGTGCTGCCTGTCCAGGTGCGTGTAGGCTCTGTGCAGCAGGTAGATGATGATGTCATCAACTCCAAAAAAAAGGGTGATATGAGTATTTCCATCATTGTATGTCCCTATGATTTGTTCTCTGCTTTTGACCCCTCATACATAAGATACACCCATGCGGTGCAGCGGGCAGCTATGTAAGTGCCTGTGCTGCAGTGAGGTGTCATGCTCAAGGGCACCACAACATAGGCACGGCAGGGAATCAAACCTTTCAGGTCCCAGTCTGACTACCCTACTGCTCCTTTTTGTGACCTGTAATGACTTATAATACTTTCATACAAAGCAAGTTAAGAATTAAAATCTTACATTTGAAGACCTTAAGATGAAAATTCACATTTGGATTAAATGTGACATAAATAGCAAAAACAATTATCAAAACAGTTGATCCATCTTATTGAATACTTGAACATTTATAAGCAAACTAAAGCAGTGGAGCAGTGGTTAGCATGAATGCCTCACAGATGGTTCCTTTCTTGTAACAAATGTCAAATGGTGCTTTGATGAAACCACACTCCTAGACGTCTAAAATAATATATCTCTGTACTATGTTGAGAAGAAGATATCTAAAAGTTATTGAAAAGTTAAAAAAAAATATGTTTTAACATTAAAGTATATTGCTTATTTATGAATCATTTGTCTCCGGTCATAAAAACATTTAATCTATCCAGAGGAATTTATTTCTGTCCACAAGCAACATTTCAGAAATCTCAAACATCCTTCTTCTCAAGGCAAATCACACCATCTTTTCCTTCATGTGTTTTACGCTTTTATCTCCAGTTTCACACAAGTACTTTCCTCCTGAATGAACAATGAATAAATATAATTTTTACTAGAACATCACATTTTCTGATATCTACAGTGCAGTTTTTATTAGTCATAGTTTGACTATTACCAATTTTATGATAAAATAGCATTCTACAATTTTTTTAACAAATGCCCAAAATACATTTGTAGATATTTGTATTCACATTATTGCTAGTCATTATTCTAACAGCCGATGTCTGAAATAGCTTTTCAATCGGTCACAATATGAATACTAGATGCGCTCAAGAGAATTTTATTTACTTGTTTAAATTATGTTTTGGATAATAAGAATTTTACTGGAATATATATGTATTTTGGATATCTAAAATAAAACTTATGAAAAGTAACAATGAGATTGTACAAACCGGATTCCAAAAAAGTTGGGACACTAAACAAATTGTGAATAAAAACTGAATGCAATGATGTGGAGATGGCAAATGTCAATATTTTATTAGTAATATAACATAGATGACAGATCAAAAGTTTAATCTGAGTAAATGTAACATTTTAAAGGAAAAATATGTTGATTCAAAATTTCACAGTGTCAACAAATCCCAAAAAGTTGGGACAAGTAGCAATAAGTGGCTGGAAAAAGGAAATTGAGCATATAACGAACAGCTGGAAGACCAATTAACACTAATTAGGTCAATTGACAACATGATTGGGTATAAAAAGAGCTTCTCAGAGTGTCAGTGTCTCTCAGAAGCCAAGATGGTAAGAGGATCCCCAATTCCACCATTGTTGCGCAGAAAGATAGTGCAACAATACCAGAATGGTGTTACCCAGCGTAAAATAGCAAAGATTTTTAAGTTATCATCATCAACCGTGCATAACATCATCAAAAGATTCAGAGAATCTGGAACAATCGCTGTGCGTAAGGGTCAAGGCCGTAAAACTCTACTGGATGCTTGTGATCTCCGGGCCCTTAAACGTCACTGCACCTCAAACAGGAATGCCACTGTCAAGGAAATAACAGAATGGGCTCAGGAATACTTCCAGAAAGCATTGTCAGTGAACACAATCCACCGTGCCATCCGCCGTTGCCAGCTGAAACTCTACAGTGCAAAGAGGAAGCCATTTCTAAGCAAGCTCCACAAGCTCAGATGTTTGCACTGGGCCAGGGGTCATTTAAAATGGAGTGTGGCAAAATGGAAGACTGTTCTGTGGTCAGATGAGTCACGATTTGAAGTTCTTTATGGAACAATGGGACGCCATGTCATCCGGACCAGAGAGGACAAGGATAGCCCAAGTTGTTATCAACTCTCCGTTCAGAAGTCTGCATCACTGATGGTATGGGGTTGCAGGAGCACTTGTGGCATGGGCAGCTTGCATGTCTGGAAAGGCACCATTAATGCAGAGAACTATGTTCAGGTTCTAGAACAACATATGCTCCCATCTAGACGTCATCTCTTTCAGGGAAGACCCTGCATTTTTCAACACGATAATGCCAGACCACATTCTGCAGCAATCACAACATCATGGCTACGTAGGAGAAGGATCCGGGTACTGAAATGGCCAGCCTACAGTCCAGATCTTTCACCTATAGAGAACATTTGGCGCATCATAAAGAGGAAGGTGCGACAAAGAAGGCCCAAGACGATTGAACAGTTAGAGGCCTGTATTAGACATGAATGGGAGAGCATTCCTATTTCTAAACTTGAGAAACTGGTCTCCTCTGTCCCCAGACGTCTGTTGAGTGTTGTAAGAAGAAGGGGGGACGCCACACAGTGGTAAAAATGGACTTGTCCCAACTTTTTTGGGATTTGTTGACACCATGAAATTTGGAAACAACAGATTTTTCCCTTAAAATGATTCATTCTCTCAGTTTAAACTTTTGATCTGTGATTTGTGTTCTATTCTGAATAAAATATTAGATGTTGGCACCTCCACATCATTGCATTCAGTTTTTATTCACAATTTGTTTAGTGTCCCAACTTTTTTGGAATCCGGTTTGTAGTTAAGTGTCCAGACTGTATTTTTTCTTGTGTAAAAATTCAGATATTCACAATGCCTGTTCCAGATGGGAAATATAGATCTACTTGTGTATTTCTCTGGGGCTTAATACACAAAAATGGAAAAAGGAACATAATTTCTATAGAGAAAACATTATGTTTGACTTATCCTAACCTAAATGCTGATAGGATATGCACACCCGCTCTTAAATGTACAAAATGCTATTGCAGATCAGAAAGAGCTAGTATTTGTCTTGAGAACCTTGTCTAACATATATATGATTAATTCACTTGTCCTATATTTCTGTTTCTCTGCGGTTTTATCCAATTATAGAGGTTTGATGTATGAAATTAAACTTTAAATCCATAGTTTAAGTTTTTTTTAAATGATTTACTTAATAAACAGCTAAACATGCTAAACATGGGATAGATAGATAGATAGATAGATAGATAGATAGATAGATAGATAGATTCCCTCCCTTTACTGCTGCATATAATGTGATGTAAATTTGTCAGTAACACACTGTCTTTCATATGTCAAAGGTATAGCCAGGTTGAGTTCAACTTCCTCTTTGTTGATACTGAGATTCTTTTTTTTTTTTTTAGTTTTTATCAACATTACAAACATTTGTCTGCCAGGGATATATTAACAGGCACAAAGGAAATAGTGTTCAAGTATAAAAAAGAACAAAACAATTTATTTACAGATTTATATAGATTCATTCACATTATGTTTTTCTAGAATTGAGATGGTTTTCATTGTCTTTTTGTTTTCAAGTTCCTTAATTATGGTGAAGTATGTAAAGTTCCTGAAGTGGGTTATGTTTGGCTTGGAGTTTGACCACTTTTTCTTGTGAATGTGAACATTTCCCAGGAGAAGTAGAAGTTGGGTGAAGTAGATTAAATCTTTATTCACGTCTTTATCATCAAAGCATAATATAATGTCTTTCTCTGTAAGTTGAATTATTTGTCCAGTTTTCTGTCGTATGAGTTGTTGTACAGGTCCTTCTCAAAAAATTAGCATATTGTGATAAAGGTCATTATTTTCCATAATGTAATGATAAAAATGAAACTTTCATATATTTCAGATTCATTGCAGACCAACTGAAATATTTCAGGTCTTTAATTGTTTTAATACTGATGATTATGGCATACAGCTCATGAAAACCCAAAATGCCTGTCTCAAAAAATTAGCATATCATGAAAAGGTTCTCTAAACAAGCTATTAACCTAACCATCTGAATCAACGACGTAACTCTAAACACCTGCAAAAGATTCCTGAGGCTTTTAAAAACTCCCAGCCTTGTTCATTACTCAAAACCGCACTCATGGGTAAGACTGCCGACCTGACTGCTGTCCAGAAGGCCATCATTGACACCCTCAAGCAAGAGGGTAAGACACAGAAAGAAATTGCTGAACCAATAGGCTGTTCCCAGAGTGCTGTATCAAGGCACCTCAGTGGGAAGTCTGTGGGAAGGGAAAAGTGTGGCAGAAAACGCTGCACAACGAAAAGAGGTGACCGGACCCTGAGGAGGATTGTGGAGAAGAGCCGATTCCAGACCTTGGGGGACCTGCGGAAGCAGTGGACTGAGTCTGGAGTAGAAACATCCAGAGCCACCGTGCACAGGCGTGTGCAGGAAATGGACTACAGGTGCCGCATTCCCCAGGTCAAGCCAATCTTGAACAAGAGACTGCGTCAGAAGCATCTCGCCTGGGACTGCTGCTGAGTGGTCCAAAGTTATGTTCTCTGATTACAGTAAATTTTGCATTTCCTTTGGAATTCAAGGTCCCAGAGTCTGGAGGAAGAGAGGAGACACAGAATTCACATTGCTTGAGGTCCAGTGTCAAGTTTCCACAGTCACTGGGGTGCCATGTCAGCTGCTGGTGTTGGTCCACTGTGTTTTATCAAGGGCAGGGTCAATGCAGCTAGCTCAGGAGATTTTGGAGCACTTCATGCTTCCATCTGCTGAAAAGCTTTATGGAGATGAAGATTTCATTTTTCAGTACGACCTGGCACCTGCTCACAGTGCCAAAACCACTGGTAAATGGTTTACTGACCATGGTATTACTGTGCTCAATTGGCCTGCCAACTCTCCTGACCTGAACCCCATAAAGAACCTGTGGGATATTGTGAAGAGAAAGTTGAGAGACACAAGACCCAACACTGGATGAGCTTAAGGCCGCTATCGAAGCATCCTGGGCCTCCATAACACTTCAGCAGTGCCACAGGCTGATTGCCTCCATGCCACGCCGCATTGAAGCAGTCATTCATGCAAAAGGATTCCCGACCAAGTATTGAGTGCATAACTGAACATGATTATTTGAAGGTTGGCGTTTTTTGTATTAAAAACACTTGTCTTTCATTGGTGGGATGAAATATGCTATTTTTTTGGGACAGGCATTTTGGGTTTTCATGAGCTGTATGCCATAATCATCAGTATTAAAACAATTAAAGACCTGAAATATTTCAGTTGGTGTGCAATGAATCTGAAATATATGAAAGTTTCATTTTTATCATTACATTATGGAAAATAATGACCTTTATCACAATATGCTAATTTTTTGAGAAGGACCTGTACATCTGTCCAGAATGCCATTGTATGATTACATTGATAGAATAAACGAGATTATTTCAATATGTAGTTCACAGAATGTACAAGAATAGTCAATATCTAATTTAAATCTTTCCAGTTTTTTTTTTAACGGGGTACACATTATATTGAGATTCAATGAATGCAGACATGTTCTTCCCTTAACAAAAAGTAGTACATTTGAAGTTTATTTTTGCAAGTATACATTAAGTATAAGTATATCAAGTATACACCATACTTACAGTGTACTAGAAGTATACTGATTTAATACTTGTTTGGACTAAGTTGGGACATTTTTATACTATTTTTAAGTATATCAAATAAAGTTTATAAAAAGTAAACTTCAAGTACACTTCCTCATTTGTAGTGTAAAATAAGTATACTTGTAGTATGTAGTAAGGTTCATTTTTAGTTTTCTACACCACCTTACAACCTAGCTTTTTTTTTTTTTGCTGCTATTTTTCCTTTTACTTACCATTTTATTTTCACTTGTTAAAAACAAAAAAAACCAAATAAATAAATAAATAAATTTGTACACATCCTTTATGATTGTCTATTGTTGTCCACTGTTGTCATAACTCTGTTAAATTCAGGTCTCTCTTGTAAATCAGTCCCCGATGCATATGGGATAAACCTGTACTTCCGGGGTTTACGTGACGTCACTGTCCAGAAACCGGATGGAAATGTTTCGCGCTTCGCGGTGAAAGTTCACAAATTAAAGAGTGGCGGGAGTTGTTGTCTGTCGGCACGCTGTTGTTAAGGAGAGACTTTAAGAGGTATTCATGCTTTTGCTACGAACGCAGCGGCAGAAATGAGTTATCCTGTTAGGTTTTAAAGGATTAGTTGGTTTGTAAACTAAGCCGAGCCACGATGAGAGAGAAACTATCTGGTGTTTACAATCGCGTTTGCTAGCTTCTGTTTGAGCTACTACACTAGAAGAAGCTGCCTATTTTTGACAAAGAAAAGCACATGTCATAAACCTTAACACTAGATTACCGTGCTAAACAGGTTTTATACTATATATATTTATACTAAATATATATATTTAAGGAATGAATGCCAATGCTAATAGGTGAGTACAGTTGCTACAGCACTTGTTGCGTAGCCATCTGTGTTTTACAACTTACTGACGGTGAAGTGTTGTTTAAAATCTGATGCACACCTTTCATCATACTGCCTGGTGGTCTTTTGAGATTAAAGCTGAAAGTATGTCACGTTGTATATTTATTTATAGCAAAAATCTGCTTCTTTTACTGCAAATACTCTTTGTGGGCCACAAGACACTAACCTGAGATTATTAACCTTATTCTCTGTAAAGATCTTTATGGTAGTAGTGCAGTATTGTGGTAAAGTAGATATTTGTCGTGTTTAAGCATATCTTGTTCATAATATACACATTCTACTAGCATTTCCTTCTATGCCATCAAGCAGCATTAATCTAAACAAAATCTGTCTTTTTAATCGCTTGCAGGCATGGATATTAAAAGGCGCAATGGTGGCCCTCACCTGGGTGGTGCTTCTCAGGCCAAGCGCGGTAAAACAGCTGGGGAATGGGAGGACAGTCCATCACAATTTGAAGAGGAGTTATCGATGTTTGATGACTTTGAGATGGATGCAGAGGAGATGGAGGGGCAGGCTGGACATGATGTCATTCCCGTGGGTGAGTATTTCTTACACAACCTCCATTTTCACCACTTCATATGTTAACGCGATTGTGCCACGTAGACTTCCGCTAATGTAAAGTAAGTAAAGCTGACATAATATAGACTAATAAAGCAGTTTGTTTACATTTTCTATTGTTTAATAGTTTTTGTATTTGTGGTTGTAACTGATAATCATAAATGACAAAAGTTAAGTTGTGATGAATGCTTGGTAAAGTATTACTTAATCTTTGCGTTACAATTCTCAAATTCTGATAATGCAATAAATGTATCATGCTCAATGGTCGTAACCCTGCCTTGCCTACTTGTCCCATCAGGTGACCTTTTCTCAGCAGACCTTAACCCTCGTTGGCGTCGACCTCACGCCCCTACACTGAACCCATCATCAGATACTTTGATCTTCCAGCAGATTGATCTGGACTATTATTTGGGTAACTACAGACAGACCAATAATTAACACAGATTTGCATTTGCCTAGCCAGTTCCATACATTAGAATATGTAGAATTGTATTGGATGCAAAGCATGCCTTTCCTATCTGACGAGGTACTTAACATGAGAGAAACGGATGTGTGTAATTTTTTTTCCCCCTATCATGCAGGAGCTTCGGTGGCTGGCATGCCTGGACAGTCACAAGGAAAAGTACCAATCATCAGGATGTTTGGTGTAACAGACAGTGGCAACAGTGTGTGTTGTCATGTTCATGGCTTTGCACCTTATTTCTATGTTCCTGCACCAAATGGTGAGCACTCGACATTCTTCTAATACTTGTATTTATTTGATGTACCATATTTGCACACAGCAAATATTCCTCATTTCATTATAAGTTGATCTTGCTTCCAGTAAATTCAATTTATGTTGCTGAGCTGTTCAATATGTGAACAATTCATGCTTTTGGGAGAAAAAATTCAAAAATGTTTCTGTTTTTCTGTTTATTTTAAAAGGATTCACGTCTAATTACCTGGGTGAATTTAAAAAAGAGTTAAACTCTGCTGTTCTGAAGGACATGCGTTCAAATAAGGACAACATCTCTGTCACTGTACTGGCTGTAGACATCACCCGCAAAGAGAGTAAGTACAAAGAATGAACACATACTTATTTATTTTATTTTTTGTTAAGAATAATTTAGTTTCCAAACAAACAGTCTTAATGTTTTTGATCTGATTGTTGAAGAGATTAAAACCATGTGATCTGAAATTAGGATTCATACCTACAGATAGAATCTATGCTGTCACATACTGCATCATGTAATTCAGTAATAAAATGGCATTCTTCCTTTTGTCCCAAAGGTATGTACGGTTACCATGGGCAACAGACTCTGGATTTCTTAAGGATAACCATGGCGATGCCTCGTCTCATCGCTCCTGCAAAGCGACTGCTTGAACAAGGCTTTAAGTTCGGTCCGTTCTCCATCCAAAGTTACCCATCCTATGAGGCCAACATAGATTTTGAAATCAGGTGTGTGCCTTCAATGAAAAAAAAATGGTAGAGTTTTTATTATTACACTCACACGTGTTAAAATGACCGCGTTCTCGTGAATAAGTCTGAGTCGTTAAATCGTAAGCTCTACATTTCATACATGATTGCACTGATTTTTGCACAAAAGAAATTGAGAATAAACAGTTAAAAAGCAGTTTTCAAGTTTACTTTTTGAGTAGATGTAATACAAACGAATGCATGTAATCCGAAAACATTTTAAACTGATCTATAGTCACAATATTTGACTTCTGCTATTTGTAATCTTGATAATAATGTTAGTATAACTTTCATGCAATTTCAAGATGCTGCTTTGTTTTTAATGATTTATTTCTTATTAGACACGTTTGAGTTGATAAGAAGTTAATTTTAGTTTAAAAGCTTATCTGTTCTGCGTGTTCCCAGGTTTATGGTGGACAGCGATGTAGTGGGATGCTGTTGGATTGAACTTCCTAAAGGAAAGTACAAAGTGCGTGAGGAGACGGGCGCAGGGGACACAGATTCTCAGACCCCAGGGAAGGTAAGAGTCAGCTAAAGGGCATTATTGGTCTGCAGATCTCTTCCCTTCGATACGTGCATGAGCACTGTTTATGAAAAAAAAACACCTTCTCTATGTGTGCTGCAGGTTTCTTTGTCTCAGTATGAAGTGGATGTTGGATGGACAGACCTGATTAGCCACCCTGCAGAGGGCGACTGGCAGAGGATCGCACCACTTCGAGTCCTCAGCTTTGACATAGAGTGTGCAGGAAGAAAGGGTATATATTTTTTTAAACGTCTTGTTCCTTCAAACAAACCAATTATTTAAAAACTACCACCGTTTTGTCAAACCTATTTTGATGCTGATGTTGATTCTTTTTTGTTCAGGAATCTTTCCAGAACCAGATAAAGACCCTGTGATTCAGATAGCATCGATGGTCCAGTGCCAGGGCGAGACTGAACCCTTCATTCGCACAGTGTTCACCCTCCAGTCCTGCACCAGCATCATTGGCTCTCAGATATTATGCTTTACTCAGGAGAAACAGCTACTTCAGGTAAATAACAGTGTCACAAACAGAAAAGACATATAACAACTAGTTTGATGTATTTATTTAATGTCCTTGTTTTAATGTCTGGCATGTTTCTTTTTGGGGGTGAGCAGAGCTGGGCAGAGTTTTTGAGGACGGTTGACCCGGACATTATTACTGGATACAACATCCAGAACTTTGATTTTCCCTACTTGCTCAACAGGGCAGCTGCTTTAAAGGTTTGATAGAGCCATATTTCAATACTTTAAAAAAAAAATTACAATATCTGGTTCTAAAATATGAAATAAAATGCCAAAATTTGTCATTTAAGCTTGAACAAATACATTTGTTTGTTTTTTTCCTCTACGTATTGCTGAGTATTTGCTGATTTTCAGGTGAATTACTTTCCATACTTGGGTCGAATGCGGGACATCAAGTCAGTTCTGCGAGAGTCCAGTTTCCAGAGTAAACAAATGGGTCGCAGGGAGAACAAGACCATCAACATGGAGGGCAGAGTTCAGTTTGATCTGCTGCAGGTCAGCTCTGACTGCAGTAAACTTCACAATAATCACTCGTTTTCAGAAAAGGACAAAAGAACTACAAGCACAGCCTGACTTGCGATTTTGTTTGTCCTCCAGGTCCTTCTAAGGGATTACAAATTGCGTTCCTACACACTGAACGCTGTAAGTTTCCATTTTCTGCAAGAGCAGAAGGAGGATGTGCAACATTCCATCATTACTGACCTGCAGGTAAAACTTGTCAGATCTAGTTTAGTTCCTGATTATTTTAAAGGCCTTTCAGATTTGATTGCAATACAAAAAAACATTAGATGCGTTGGTCTCTTCAATAAAGTCAGAAAAAAATAATGGAATTTTTATTTTAACGGTTATTGTTTTTTTTTTCTCATCCGTCCCACTGCTTGTTTTTCCTTCTCCAGAATGGAAACGAACAAACGCGGCGGCGATTGGCCGTCTACTGCCTGAAAGATGCCTACCTCCCGCTGCGGCTGCTGCAGAAACTAATGTGTGTGATCAACTACATGGAGATGGCCAGAGTGACCGGAGTGCCTCTCACCTACTTGCTCTCAAGAGGACAGCAGATCAAAGTTGTCTCTCAGCTGCTGCGACAGGTATGACGGAAAAGAGACACGCTTACATTTCTTTGGAATCAGTTAGCAGTTGCTTTTTATATATTTTACTAGAGCCTGACTGATATGGAAATGTTGGTTATTGCCGATATCGATACTGGGAGCGTAAGGTGGAATGCCGATAACCGATATACTGTAATGGCTGAAAATTTTTGAGCTTTGTCCACCCTCAAGAATCTTAAGTAAAGAGTGAGTGGCACAGTGCTTGTTTATTTAGCGCGGCTGTTAGCAACCACAGTGTTTCCCCTACCATTATATAAGCGGGGTGCCCCACCCTGTCAACAGAACTGAGCACCCCGCCTACCAAACCGAACTTGCCCCGCCACCCACCCACCCGGCACTGACATAGCACTAAGCTAGCGGCGCAAAATACAGGCTCTCTAGCTAAAAGCTAAAGGCAACACTCACATTGCTTCTTCCATCAAGCTGAACACCCCTCGCCCCCACTCAAAAACTGCTGTGCTTCAGGTCTCTCTTGTAAATGAGTCCTCGAGGCTCAATGGGATTTACCTGTATAAATAAAGGTTGATGTGTCCGTCCCCCCGTCAACAAAAATCATGGATGAGATGAGCACCCCGCCATGGCAAGTTAACTAGGGGAAACACTGAACCATGAAGCTAAGCAAATCAGATTCACACTATATCCCACAGTAGTTTGTTTTATTTTATTTTTTTCTCTGTCCTCCGGTGAAACCAGACATGTCTCCCTGGTCTCTCTCCCCCACACCCGCTTCCCTGCTTGCACTCTTTTGTCCTGTGAACCCTTAAAAAGCCTCTTTTTTTTTTGTTTTTTTCGGCATACCTCTTAATTCGAAGGATCAGCTGGTCTCTCAACAAAATTGATCAACTTCTCCTGACAGGAGTCAGGGCATAAGGAGGACCCTCTACCTCGAAGGAAACAAATTGAATTCATGATGACAACAGTTTTTATTTTTATTTTTTTGCTGTTTGGCTGGTGAATTCTGGATTGTCTATAAATACGTGTGGATGTGTCGAAACTCGACAGCACTCAGACTGAATTTGGGGAGCTGCAGCAGGGAGCTGGAGCAGCTGTTATCAGGACTGTAAATTTCCTGGCAGCACTCATGAACGGTGGGAATAATCTTGGAGAAGCTGTGAGCTCGACTTTAGGCGTAAAGATTCAATTCGGCTATTTTGGAGTTCCTTCAGAGGAATATATACCAGCGAGACTTTAAAAAGGCAGAAACAGCAATTCACGAGTTCTGCCTGACCCAAACTGTGGCCTTGACTTATCTCAACTCCTCCTGGCATGTTTTGAAAACAACAAAGATGCTTTGACTGTCTCCTCACCCCTCCCTTCCCCAAGGCCGTGGACATGTAACAGAGCCTCAACTGAGCTGAAGATGAATGGCTAAGAGGGGGGGCTCTGGACTATGCTACGACTTTCCCTTGAAAATTCAATGTCTTCACCGGCCTATATGTACATGTATAACGTCTATTTATGTTGCTTTGCTGTGGTAGGTTTTTTGATGCCTCAAATTGTGCCCTGTCTAGGACACAGAGCAAGAGATCTTTTTTAAAAAAAATTTATACCGTCTCTCCTCATGTTTTCTTCCCTTTTCTCATCTAAGAAAATATTATTAAGAATAAGAAGGCCGCGCTATTTATATCCGCAGCTTCGTGCACTCCGCCCATCTTTCGGACGACTGTACGTACATATTCATGTTGTATCTCGGTGCGATGCCAATAAAGTTTATTCTGATTCTGATAAGTGGTGCACTGGCCATATAAACAGTCTTCCTAATGTGCGTTCACATTTTCTGTCCTCCACTATTCACCATAAAGTTATCAAGTGCGTCACAAAAATATAAATTACATAAACAAACACCTTTCCCTGTTCATTGTTTACACAGTCAGTCTCTTATGGTGAACACCTAATTAGTATTGACCGCAGCTGTTTTTATTTTTCTTTGTAGAGAAGTTAAGATTTCAGACAAACAATTCATTTCATTGAGGAAGACGATGTTTACATGGACATAAGTAATTGGATTAAACGGCTGTTTGGAATAAAAATGCGTCATGTAAACGCCCCGTTCGAGCTATTTTTTGTTTATTCAGCGCGAACCGAAATAATTAGTGATCAGAACAAACTGGTGGTTTACGCCGATTCATAACCCGAACGGTGCGCATGTAAACACTTGATATGTTCATTTTTTTTTCCAATCATGAAAAACTGACCAGACTGCACATGTGCGACTTATGTCATTTCCGCCTGGCTAATGCTAATAATATTAGCATGTCGGGGAAGCAAAACTGGTCGGTGAGAGACTCAACATTTCTACTAGAAACTCTGAAAGAGCTCAAAATGATCTGTATCGCCTGTAGCTCAGTCAGGGGGTGCAGCAACGTCTCCACCGTCATTAAAACCTGTCGCAGGTCCATTTTGGGCTCTCAGCTTTGTTTACATTCATCCCAGAAGTAGAATTTCTTCTTCTGTGTTTTTTTAAGGAGAGTTTACCACTCTGCGCATGTCAGTACTTCTGTTCAGAGCAAAGCCCGCTGCATGTAAAAGTTCATCATGAACGGATTGTGCCCATATAAATGATACATTTGAATTATTTAATATGAAAACATTTCAATCTGATCAAAGAATTTTGTGCATGTAAACATAGCTATGTCCTCACAAACTGGAAGCTCCACTGGACAGGACTCATTGCTACAACTACTGACAACAAGGCTAATGACGTGAAGGCGGTGCAACTGAACACTAACGTTAGCTTGCTAACTTGAGAGGCACGTAGCTAATGACAAGCGGGTTGGAGGATAGAAGATAATTTTTTAATTTTTTTTTTAATTTACAGATCAGTTCAAATAAACTTGGCATGCTCTGTTCAGCAAAAGACACTACACAGTATTGCTCCCTGCTTCATCTGTGCTGAACGTCAAAACTGAAACTTAAGTGAACAGCGATGACTTGAAAGTAGTCTTCATGCGCCCTCTGCTGGATACATTTTACAATTACGGCTGGTCCCAGCATTTTAGGGGTGAAAATTAGAAGTGCTTATATCGGCGCATAATGGGACAGTTATCACTGATGCCGATATGTTCCCAAACATCTATATCGGCTTAAAATATCTACCCTACCGACACATCGGTCGGACTCTAAATTTTACAAGTTTAAGTTGGAAAAGGATTTCTGTGCAAAAAAGGTTGCATTTTCATTCAACCTTTATTTAGACAGGTAAATCCATTTGAGCCTTGAATACTTTTCATGTGTCTGAGCTGATACAGAGATCTTGTTCACCTCAGCAGTCTGCAGGATTTTCAGTTTGGCTTCATGGTAATGGTTTCATAACAATCGATTAAATGGAAATGAAGCCAAACTACAGTGCAGAGTTGTTCCTCACGAATCAACAAGTGGAGTTAATCAGCTCTGTGATGAGCCACGGTGGCTTTCACAATCAGTTGCTATACACAGACAACCTGAGGAAAAATACACGTTTTAATTGTAACGTTATTTGCGAGTTATCTGTTGTGCTGTAACATTAAGTCCATCAGAAGTTGACCATGTCTTTGTTCTCAGTGTGACAAAGCTGCCTGTAGTTCTTATCATCCTGGCGCTGATTGCACAAATCTGGTATATTTCTCGGTAATCGGAGTAACTCATTGATTTAAAACCAAAGTAATCCTAAATCAGTGAGTTTTTTTGCACCTTAACTGGTGTAAAGAGAGAAAGTTAGTCACAAATGTATACAACCAACATGATGATCATTTTTTAGTTTAGTTTTTCGATAAACGTCTTATTAGCAATGTTTGTATAGTTGGCATCACGAGTCTGAGACTTGTGTTTTGGGTTGAAAACTGAAAAGTGTGGGAACTGTTGAGTTACACTGTGATAAAATAAACACTAAACCAAAAAATAAGGAGCCATTTCAAACTAAAGTACATCATGTAGTAGAGAAGCACAACAAGACACTTTGCCAAACTAAATCTTTTTAGTCGTGTGTGTGTTTGTACAGACGTGCAGTCAGTGCAGGTTCATGTTTGTGGATTGTATTTATTTGTTTACCCTTTTTTTTTTTTTAAACAAAGCACATTAAAATTAAAATTCTTTAATAATCAAAGTGAGTCCAAATAAAAAGATCAAACCTGTAGAGGTGCAGCTTACATTTTAATGCACTATAAAAACAAGTGTGCTTTTTATTCTTAGGCGATGAAACAGGACCTGGTCATGCCTGTTGTAAAGACAGAGGGTGGAGAGGACTACACCGGCGCAACTGTTATTGAACCAGAGAAAGGGTACGTTTGTCCTGCAGGTTTGTATAAACCTTTATTTAGACTGGTTAATCCCATCGAGCCTCGAGGACTCACTCATTTACAAGCGAGACCTGATTTCAACAAAGAATGATGACAACAATGGACAACAGCGACAACAATAAACAGTTATAAAAAGGTATACAGATTTTTTTGTTCTTTTTTACAAATAGGATGGCTAAAAAAAGAAACAAAAACGGCTAGATTATAAGGCGAATGTAGAAAACTAAAAACAGGAACATGTCTGCATTGCCATTCTTGCCAGGAGTCCAACAGATGTTTGAAGCCACTTAGAGAGGTCAAGGTCGAGAGCTTCAAATCTTTTTGTAAGATATTCCAAGAAACAGGAGCAGAGTAGGAGAAGGCCCTTTTACCTAGTTCAGTCCTCATTGAGGGAACACTGCAGGTAATAATGTCCTGAGAGCGCACGCTGTAGCTGCACTCGCGCAGAGACATGTAGGAGGAGATGTATGAAGGCAGCAGACCAAGAAGTGATTTAAAGATGAAAATGTACCAGTGAGAGAGTCTGCGTGAAGTTAATGATGTCCAGTTAACCAATGAATACAGGGTGCAGTGATGGGTACGATAATCACAGCCAGTTATGAATCTTAGTGCACCATGATAGACAGCATCCAACATCTGCAGGGTTCTTGTAGGAGCGTTCATGTAAATAATGTCACCGTAATCAATGAAGGGAAGGAAAGTCACAGATACAAGGCGTTTTCTAACATTCAGGGTTAGACAGGATCTGTTTCTGAAAAAGAAACCCAGTTTAACTTTCAGTTTCTTTATCAAGTTTTCCACATGAAGTTTAAAAGAGAGATGTGAGTCGACCAAGATACCCAAATATTTATAGGAATCAACAAACTCAATGGGGACACCATTTGAGGATAAAATCGGACGAAGAACTGCTGGGACCAACTTCCTGTTTGAAAAAAGCATCCCTTTGGTTTTGTCGGCACTTAGAACAAGTTTGAGGTGGAACAAATCTGTCTGGATGTTGTTGAATGCAGATTTCAAAAGCTGGAAAGCCTTAGCAACAGTTTTAGCTCGGCAATAAACAACTGTGTAATCAGAATAGAAATAAATGTATGGATGCATTAGGCATGTTTTTACCTACATTACCTATGTAGATTGTAAAGAGGGTGGGTCCTAAGACTAAGCCTTGTGGTACACCATTGTTGACTGTTAAATAACTGGAGGAAGTACCATTATGTTGAACAGATTGCCTCCGGTCTTAGAGATAGTTAGAGAACCAACCAATGGTGTGTTCTGAGAAACTAATTTCTGAGAGTTTATGACACAAGATGTTATGATCCACAGTGTCAGAATCTTTAGACAGGTCTAAGAAAAGTGCAGCACAATAATCCTTAGCATCCAGTGCTTCAACAACGTCATTAAGAACCTTCAGTGAAGCAGTGGTTGTGCTGTGTTGTTTCCTGAAACCAGATTGATGGGGAGTTAAGATGTTAAATAAGTCCAGGTAATTTTTGATTGGGGAGCTGCAGCAGCAAAGGAAGAACAAAGGCTGTTTTTGTACTGGTGTGTAACCACACTGCTCCTCCTGTAGTTACTTTCTTATCAATGTTTCCTTCTTCTTGTCTGTGTAGATATTACAGTGTTCCAATCACCACGCTTGACTTCTCCTCACTGTATCCGTCCATCATGATGGCCCACAATCTGTGCTACACCACGCTGCTGCAGAAGGGCTCTGCGGAGAAACTGGGGTAAGCACGTGTGTTTGGTCGTCGTCTTGAAACAACAAACTGCTTGCAAGTCACACCAGAGATTCAGCGAAGTGGTCACAAGTATTACATTTTATCACCTGTTCAAATGTTGTAAGAAAAATGTATTTTTAGTTTTCAGAGCTGTATGAGTTGTAGCGAGCCTGATTCTTACTTTTGTGTATAATTGTGCACCTGCAGACTGTCGTCAGACGACTTTATCAGGACTCCGACCTCTGATCAGTTTGTAAAGAGTTCTGTGAGAAAAGGACTCCTTCCAGAGATTTTGGAGAATCTGCTGGCTGCCCGAAAAAGGTTTGAACTATCTGGAAAAATACGAATCGACAACAATTTCAATGTGTTTGACTGTAAAAAAATAAATAAACGTCTATACCGGTAGTCATTTATTTAATGTAACTTTTGTTAGCATCTCAGTTCTCTCAGTAAGTGCTCTTAAAATATTTGCCAAAATAAAAGTTTCTGATCATGTGGCTTGCAGATAAATGTATTCCTGGTGGTTATGTAGCTCAGCCGGATGTTCCACATGTTTTTATTTCTCAGGCTGTTCTGTTTGTCCACAGGGCCAAAGCAGAGCTGAAGAAAGAAACGGACCCTTTCAAGAAGCAAGTACTGGACGGCCGACAGCTGGCCCTTAAAATCAGTGCAAATTCTGTCTACGGCTTCACCGGGGCCCAGGTGGGCAAACTGCCCTGCTTGGAGATCTCACAGGTGAGCGCTTTTTGTTTGATTAGTACTCTGAGAGGGAACGGTTCTTCAATCGAGTTCTTCAGTTTGGGGCTGCAGCATCTGTTTTCACTCAGGGGGGGTGGGGGTGGGATTGACCTTCCTTTATGCACTGCTCCTTTTGTTGTGCACAGACATGAAGCCCGAGCAGTAAACCACAGACGTAGACGTGTTTTACATGATAACCACAGAACAGGTGGAGAAAGAAATGGGAACAAATGCCACCAAAACCCTGCTGTACATTAATATAAAACTGCAGCAGCACTGTTTAAAAAAATAAAATAAAAGTTAGAAATGTTTCACGTTTTGTACATTACACACCTGCAAACTTGTCACTTTTAGGCAAAATTCACAGATTTCATTCTAAAATATGCATCTACGTGAATCGTGTAGATCAGAAGAGGGTTTTTTTGGTGGGTGGGGGTGGTGTGGTGTGCATGGTGGATGGTATATTTTCCCTTTAAGAAACATTTCTCCTCGATCAGTTAGCTTAGCAGGTGCTCATCTCTTCTGTTTTTTTTTTTGTCAACGGGGCAGGGGGAGAAACCTCCGTGTTGCGCGTTACGGCTACATAGTGTGGGGCAGTTTGGTGTGTGTGTGTGTGTGTGTGTGGGGGGGGGGGATACATGATAGAAGTGGAGCACTACGTCTGTAGCATCTTAAGCTAGTGGGACTGTGTTGCGAGCAGCTAGCTTAGCGCTACGTCAATGTTTGAACAATGTAGCTGACTGCCACATACACTGAGATTTGAAAAGTCCAGCTGACGGGGTTATAGAGAATACTTTGAAGGAGAAAGAAACCCAAGTAACACAAGTTTTCTGGAAAGTAAAACTGGTCAAATCAGTGATGGGGAAGAAACAGTGGAAAGGAAAACAACAGGAGAAGGAGATGGATGTTATTTTCATTCATTCGTTCAACCTTTATTTAGACGGGTAAATCCCATTGAGCCTCGATCCAAGAGGACTGTGAAGGAAAGGGGAATAAAAGTTATGAAGTGTAGACATTGTGGTGACACTAAGGTATATCCTAAAAAATAGGTTAATCAGCTATGTCTCTGTCAACCTTAATTAATGCATAATAAACAATTATTAATGATTTATAAAGTGTTTATGGAAGAATTAATAACATCTATAAACTGTTTATTAGGTGTCTATAAGGGGAGCCTTATTGTAAAGTGGTACCACAAAATGTTCTGCTACATTTGGTTTCTCTGGTTGGCTTGTTAGGGACTTGGATTATCACCTTTTTCTTTCCTTGTGAGTTTGCAGTTATGAAATTAAAATAAAACTGCAGCAGCAGACTTGTTTTAAAAAATATATATAAGTTAGAAATGTCCCTCATTTTTTACATTACAAATAATCATAGTCTAATAGTTAACGTAGTTTCAGAAAGAATGGCTTTTGTAAAAAAATTTTTAAAAAAGTTTGTGAAATAACGTCTCAGTTGCTCTAAAAACGAAAGTTCTCAAACCAGAAAATCATGACTTTGTGATGTAATGAAAACGTTTAGCACTATGGGGAAATGAAGCACATTTCAAAATGTCAAGTGACAGATTTGATCGTAAATCTTGAGTGATGTTCGTATTTGTCTCATTTAGAGTGTCACCGGGTTTGGGAGACAGATGATCGAGCGAACCAAACAGTTGGTTGAGTCCAAGTACACAATTTCCAATGGCTATCAAGCTGATGCTAAAGTGAGTAATACAGTTTCCTCCTCTTTTGGCTATTAATTTTCTCAAATCAAGCTTTTGATATCAGATTTATTTTTGTGTATGTGCTCCAGACTCTGAATTGTGTTTTATTATTTTTTGTTAAGGTCATTTATGGAGACACAGACTCCGTCATGGTCAAGCTTGGAGTTCCAACTGTGAGGGAGGCTATGGCTACTGGGAAGGAAGCAGCTGAGTGGGTGTCATCTCATTTTACACCCCCCATCAAGCTGGAGTTTGAGAAGGTATCATTTCACTCCCGAGTCCTTCCATTTAAATTGAGTTGCGTCTCTGATAAGGAGAATTATTTTCTGCACAAGAACCAGACAATACAGTATGCTGCTTTGCTGCAGAGTAGTTTGATCCTTTTTGTGTATTTACAATCACGTTTCTTTAAAACCTACATCAACTACACCAAACGCCTTCGTTTTGTTCAAAAATGTTCCACAAGTTATTATACAAGTTGCTGTATAAATAATAATGTAGTTTTCTCAGTGTTTTCCAACACATAACAGAAAATTCCTCAGACGTGTTGGAGGATTTGGCATCTAACACAAACTGAAGCTGCTCAGTTGATAATAGTTTGACTTCCTGATCTTCACAGGTGTATTACCCGTACCTGCTGATTAATAAGAAGCGCTACGCAGGGCTGTATTTCTCCTCAAGTGCAGACACCCACGACAAGATGGACTGCAAAGGCATCGAGACGGTCCGCAGAGACAACTGCCCTCTGGTGGCCAACCTTATCAACACTTGTCTGCAGAAAGTCCTCATCGACAGGTTTAGAAGTCCACGTTTGCACCAAAATATTGTCGTAAATTACAAATTTTTCACACTTAAGGTAAAAAAAAGAACATTTTAACTCTGGTTTTATTACTTGGGTCACTTCAGGGATCCTCAGGGTGCAGTGGATCATGCCAAAGAAGTGATCTCAGACCTGCTCTGCAATCGCATCGACATCAGCCAGCTCGTGATCACAAAGGAGCTGACACGCACAGCCCAGGAGTACGCTGGCAAGCAGGCACATGTGGAGCTGGCTGAAAGGTCTCATTAATCACCAACTAGTTGTCAAATCTCAGGACGGAAGTGTTTGTGAAATTAACTTTTTGTTGTTTTAAAAGGATGAGAAAAAGAGACGCGGGTAGCGCCCCGAACCTGGGAGACAGAGTCCCGTACGTCATTATCAAGGCTGCAAAGGGAGCAGCAGCTTACATGAAGTCAGAGGTGTGGACCGTCACCTTCTGCAGTCCGACACGTTTGCGCCTTCGGTTTTATTTCTCGCATTGATCCAGATTCCTCCACTTTTCAGGATCCGATCTACGTGCTGGAGAACAACATTCCCATCGACACCCAGTACTACCTGGAGCAGCAGCTGTCCAAACCCCTGCTGAGAATATTTGAGCCCATCTTGGGGGAGAGCAAGGCGGAGAGCGTCCTGCTGAGTGCGTTACCTCTCGCAGATAGTTGTGACTAACCTCACGAGCGAGAAATGAATCGTGTGTCAGCAGAACCACATTTGCTGCAATTGTTCTTTAGACATTAGAGACCTGTTGCGTATTTTAAATTTTGTGTCGTCTTCCAGAGGGTGACCACACGCGCTGTAAAACCGTGCTGACCTCAAAGATCGGAGGCCTCATGGCGTTTGCCCAGAAGAGAAGCACCTGCATCGGCTGCAAAGCTGTCCTCAAGACTGATGGTGTGTTCGCTTTGCTTTTCCACCCAGTACGCTTTAGTCAGCCATGAAAGACGGGCAGTTACTGTAGGTGGTTGTGTGTGCACCTAAGTGTCTTCTGAATAGAGCTGTCATTTCTAGCCCGGCCCGACCCGAACTTCAGGCTGGGTCGGTGTCAGGCTTTTGATTGCGTCAGCTGACGTGCGCGACTGACGATCGTCAGTCGAGCTCCGGCTGTTGGACCACTCGCTAACCGGCTGGTTGAAAGAGGTAAAAAAACATCTAGATGGATGACTGACAGCGACCCACCTGAAACTTAACAGGACTCAGCCGCTGCGGACGTAGATGCGGATGGCCGACGGACGCAATTTGGATCGTCAGCCGTGCACGTCCTCCAACCGTTAATAACTATATTATAATAACTATAATAATCCGATGACTTGTTAATAATCAGTAAATCTTATATCTTCCTTTCTTTGAAATACGTTTTTAAATCACGTCAAACTGATTTGCTGACAAAAGCAGTAAAAGCTTCATTTAAAAAAAGGTTGTTTTTTTTCGGGATTGGGCCTTTTAATCACAGTAACTGTATTTTCCGCCGTACATGTCGCATCGGTCCAAATATGTTTAATAAAGCGGAAAAAATATAAATACATTCGCTTCGCCATATAAGTCGCATCTATTTTGCGTCACCGCTGACACCTCGGAAATGTGGACTAGTGTGCCAAAAATCAATTGGCTGCCAAATGGCAGCCACGGGAGCGTGCACAGGAGGACTTTAACAAGAATTTAACAAGATCAACACTTAAAAACAATTATTTGTTTGCTCAAAATTATAGCAAAGGTGTGTCTCGGTTTAACTTTTCCTAATAAATATACTTTGACGGTCAAATCAGCTGCATTTCAAAAGCAGGTTTGTGGAAACATGAACGCGCAGAGGGCGACTTACTGTGCATTTCTTCGAAATGTAACAAGATAAGCACCTAAAACAATTGTTTGCTTGACATTATAGTAAAGGAGTGTCTCAGTTGAACTTTTACTTAATAAATGCACTTCAATGGTCAAATTAGCTTCATTTTGCCCGGGCGGCGCAGCGAAATGAAGCTGATTTGACAGTTGCTCCAGGCATGATCCTGGAGCTGGACGCCGGTGGCAGTCTGTGGCAAACCGATTGTGTCATTATAGCCACTTTTACCTATTACATGACACAACGGCATGCCCTACCACTGGAGTGCCATCTAGCGGCTGGAAATGGTAGTGTTCAATATTTTCAGTCAGAATGAATTAAAATGGTCATATCTCAGCCAAAAATTTGTTTATAAATATGGGAAAAAACATAAGTAAGTTACTTCGGTGTGTAAGTCACAGGGCATGCAAATTGTGCAAAAAAAAAAAGAAGCAACTTATAGGCCGAAAAATACGGTAATTAGTCCGTTTCGGGTCGGGCTTAGAAAAAATTATACAGGTTCGGGCCGGGCCGGGTTTTTTTAGGCTCAAATGCAACTCTACTTCTGAACCACTGAATGTATTTTAATGAAACTCTTAAATATTTGACAGATCATGCACGATCTTTAAAATTTTAAGATGAAAATTTTGTAGGCAACAATGAAAACTAGTTTTTTTTGTTTTTAAAGAAGTTTTTTTTGGTGGGAGGGGTGGATATTTATTTCTATACAAGTTTTGTTTAAAGTTGTCTATCGAAGCGTGGTTTTACATGCACTTAGTGTTTGTTTGTCCTTTTAGCGGCTGTGTGTGATTTCTGCAAGAGAAAGGAGTCGGAGCTGTATCAGAAAGAGGTATGCAAGCAACCAGATGCTGTTTTACCTCCATCAGCTCTCATACCCCTCATCGGATTAAAACTAGCACGTCCTCTGAACAGAAATTCGTCTAACGTGTTCTCTGCAGATCTTTCATCTGAATACGTTGGAGGAGCGATTCTCTCGTCTGTGGACTCAGTGTCAGCGCTGCCAGGGCTCCCTCCACGAGGATGTGCTCTGCACCAGGTACAGTCAAGATGCATGTGCACATTTTCCAGCTTTAATCCCTGCAGGACGATGGTAACACTGTTCCCTCTGCAGTCGTGACTGTCCCATCTTCTACATGAGGAAGAAGGTTCAGAAAGATCTGGATGACCAGAGCAAGCTGGTGTCTCGTTTTGGATGGTGAGATGGGCGCACTGAGGGCTAGACCCACCTTATGTCTGTCTTTGTTTTGTCTTTTGGAATTTGTAAAAACTGCATATAAATACACCTTTTTACGTTTTCTAAGATTAGTAAGTTGTCATGTAGTGCCTTTTTTTGTAAAATAAAGTTCAAAATCAACTCCTTCTTGGCTTCCTGGTACGAGCTAGAGGTGTCATTTCTAACCCAAACCAGACCCGGATTAGCGCCGGTCCGGGCCGTTATGCGATTAATGTGAGGGCCGGACCGGTCTCAGGCTCTGATGCAGTTTTACGAATCATACAGCACAAAGAAAACTAAGAATGCACAATATAAATTTGTGTTAATCTACCTGTTGAGGAGGCAGGTCAGTCCGACCAGCCGGTTTAAAGAAGTTTAAAAAAAAAAGTTGCGTTAAGCTCAGATTAGCACCAGGCATGCGTGGCGGCTGACTCACCGGTTGAAATGGACTCTAGATTGTCCAGGGTGTACCCCACCTTTCACACAGTGACTGCTGGACATGGGCAGCAGCGACCCCCGCTACCCAAAGATGAAGAAGCGGGTAAAGATAATGGATGGATGAATCAGATGATGCGTCTCCGCACCTGTGGTGAAGGAGGCAGCAGAATCTACAAAAGCCAAAGCGAGCAGCGCGTTCATTTAAAAAAAAAAAAGCCTTGTTCTATATTTTTCCAAATAATTTTGCTCTTTAAAATATTTTTGTTCATCTGCATAATAACCAATCTTTACAGCTGATTTTTTTTGGCTATTTGTTTTGTATGTTAATATCCATTTAATGACATTAATAAAAATAAATCTTGTATCTTTCTTTCAATGCGTTTTTAAAACCATCATGTCAAATTGATTTCCTTCAAAAAACTGTAAAAGCTTGATAAAAAAAAAGTCTTTTTTTTTTTTTCCCAGATTCGGACCTCTAATTACCGGTAATTCGTTGGGTCCGGGTAGGGCTCGTAGAAAAAAAAAAAAACGGGCTTTTCTCAACGGGCGCCAAAAAGCCTCTATCTAGATGGTAGTTGCCCAGGAGACCTCCTAATCAGAAGCTTGGATGATCTCAGCTGCCTCCTTTTGACATGGAGGAGCAGCAACTAGAGCTTCGCCCTCATGATGGAGCTCTTCACCCTCTCCGAGGCTGAGCCCCTAGAAGGAAACATGTCTCAGCTGCTTGTCTGGGATCTCGCTTCAGTCGTGATCAGACCTTAAGATTGACACACAGAACGGTGACTTGAGAGATCAACTGCGCTCCTCTTTAACCGCTAGACTTGAGAAACACCCGCATTACTGAAGATGAAGAGCCGGTTCGTTCATAACAAGGCAAAGACTGACCCCTGATCCAAAAGGAGCAACAACTAAAAAATCAAATGATAATTTCTACTGTGGGTTTGTTTAGCTGTACATTTAACCCACCGGCATCACTTGATAAGAGTAAAAGTACAAACTTGCTGAGATGAAGAGGAACTTGTTTTTTCTCAAAGCACGTCTCTTCCTTTTTTAGTTTGACGGCTAACCATAAAAAAACTTTTGAGTCTTTATAGTTTGTGACGAACTCCAATTTCTTTCTTGCACCATATGAAACAATATAAAATAATATCTAATATAAAAATCAAACACCTTCACAATAAAAGTTTACATGGACAAAAAAAAGTTTGTTCATTTTAACTCATCTTGAACATTTATCTCTGAGAAAGTCGTGTTGATCCTGTTAAACATGATATAAAATGTTCAAGTCCACTGGAGTTACCTCACAGAACATGAAGCATGATTTTATTAAGTGTGCATACAGCATTTTATTACAGATGTTACTTTTGACACTGGAAAGTGGTTCAGTGATTCTACAAAAATAGAAAACTAACAATCCATTGAGTTTAGAATGACATATCTAAAAAGTTGCCCAAATCATCCAGCATCACATCCGATGACTGTTTTAAACAGGCAATACGACAAACTGGTGTCAAATAGTGGCGTAACAATGTGAATTATTACTGCAACACCCAACACTGAGTGAACTCTGCATTAAAAGCAGACTGTTGAATAAATCGTGAAAATCTGGGACCGAAAAGAAGCGGTGGCAACGCGTTAAAACGGAGTGGAGCTTTGCGGTTATTCAGTGCCTGATAAAAATTCCTGAGTAAACTTTTAAAGTGGCACTAAATAACCCTAAACTCACGAATACAGAAAGGACGCGCGTGAATCTAGAGCAGGCTTTAATAAAACCATCTTGCACTAAACCAGTTCACCGACGGTCTTAGTGAGAAAAGCGTAACGCTGCTGCGTTTTAAGCTTCAAAAGTTACAACAATCTGTTCAGAAGACATTAAAGTTCAGAAATGTGTGGATCGACTTTCTGCCTAAAGACTAAATGTCTTTACAGGAAATAGAAATGTTCATTTGTTCTACTGCCACTAGAAGCACTGAACTTTTGAGGGGGGGAAAAAAAGGTATTACGTCCCAAAATAATCAGAATTTGGACTGAGCTCGTCACCTGGTCTGACTGCAAAGTGCAATATTGAACGAATAAATGTGAAGAACCACTGTCCATAAAAAAAGGTTTGCCACATTGGCCTCACTCACGTCTCCAGAGTGATAAAACAAATGCTCTCAGGGATGCTGACTGTGTGTGTGCGCTATAGTATGATGCAACGTCTCTGATTGCTCTTCTTGTTCTTCTTGTTGCTGCGGTTGGTCTCTTTATATCTTCTAATTTCTCGCACTAGAGAGTAGAACGCTTCCTCTACACCCTGCAACAGAAAAGGCATCAAATGTAGACCAGGCAAAACGTAAAACCCTAAATGCAGAAGTCAAAACTGTTTCTACGTCACCTGTCTGGTTTTGGCAGAAGTCTCGACAAACGGCACTCCGTAGCTTCGCGCCAGCTCCTGCGCCTGTCGCGACTCCACCGTGCGAGAGCTCAGGTCGCTCTTGTTGCCCACTAGCACCATGGGGACGCTGTCGCTGTCCTTCACCCTGTTGATCTGCTCTCTGTGGAGACAAGCAACAAGCCCTTAGTGACAGAGGATGACCTTCATGAGCAGGTGGATGAAGGCTGACGTGGGGGATCACAGGTAGCTCAGTTTGCATTTGAACTGAGCAACAGGTCAGAGACTGAAGCACCATCAGGTTAACTGGAGACAAAATAATAGTCAACATTCCTGTGAGGAAACCAGACGTATAGGTGCAGTCTAAATATGCTTAAAGGGATCGATCAGTTATTTGAAAAAAGTTGTCTCGTTCTGATCAGATTGACAAGTTAAAGGCTAATCTGAGCAGGACTGAGACCAAATTAATTGCAACTACCGGTACTTCAATCTAAAAAATTCATAGTGGATGACAATTTCTGCAGTTTTTCCTGCAAAAATATGATATCCTAACCAGAAGGGCTCAGAGTTCTCTGCAACACAAAACCAAACGGCAATCCAAAGTAGGGATGCACGATATTATCGGCATGGTATCGGTATCAGCTGATATTAGCGTTAAAATTAAATATCGGACATCAGCCATTCCATCAAAATAACGCATCGAGTCAGAGTCAGAGTCAGAGTTTCTTTATTGTCATTCGCACCTCATGTGGTACATGTGGTGGAGCGAAATTATGTACACGGGGTCCCAGTTACATCCAACAATAAAATGTATAAGAAAAACAGTAATAACATCTAAGATATGAACTAAGAAAAACATCAACTAAATATACACTAAGCACTCATAACATAAAACATTGAACATCAGCACAAACATGAACATGAGTCTGTGAGCAGATGTGCACGCATGAACACATCAACATTGAAACAGATCAGCAGCAACATGAAACAGATCAGCAGCAACATGATATGGTTTTTCACAGTGATTATTCTAGTTAGAGATTCATGAGTCTAACAGCCTCAGGGTAGAAGCTGTTCCTCAGTCTAGTGGTTCTACACTTAATGCTCCTTAACCTCCTTCCTGAGGGGAGTGGGGCAAAAAGTGTGTGTGCTGGGTGGGTGGGGTCCTTCATGATGCAGGTGGCCCTCTTCCTGCATCTGGAGGTGTAGATGTCTGTGATGGTGGGGAGACTGACTCCAACAGATTTCTGTGCAGCCTTCACCACTCTCTGCAAAGCTTTTCTTTCTGCAGCTGTGCAGCCTCCATGCCACACATTGATGCTCGAGCACAGGATGCTCTCCACTGCACACCTGTAGAAGGAGGTGAGGACTGAGCTTCCCAGGCCAGCTCGCCTCAGCCGTCTGAGGAAGTAGAGTCTCTGATGAGCTTTCTTGATCAGGCTGGTGGTGTTGTTGCTCCAGCTGAGGTTGTCATTCATGTGTACACCCAAGTACTTGTAGCTGGAGACCACGATATAAAAGATGCTGTTTTTGTATGACAACCCAGTGACAAGGATGTCTGCAGCGTCAGCATGATGTGATGATGTCACACGCACCTACCTGATCTGATCACGGAGGAGAGGAAAAAGTCAAAATGTCGGTGGTGTGGAAGGTTTTTTTTTCTGTTGAAGATATCTGATTCTGAAGATTTATGGACTACGTTGAGCCTCGCCACATCGTCCCCATTCAGAGATATTTTTCCGACGAAGCTTTACCCGAGGTACAAGCCGTCATTTCCGACGTCATTGAGAAGCTAACAGCCGATAGCACTTGGGTGAGTTTTAACACAGACATTTAGACGTCGTGTTAGCACCGTTAGCATGATTAGTCTTACGGCACAATGCATAGACAAAAACTTTGAAGTTAAAAAGTCTGTCCTTCATGCACAGGAGTGCAGAGGATCCCACGCTGCAGCTAGGAACCTGGAACAAGCCTCCACAAGTGAGACAGCATCACAGGTGACTAATGCTAATAAATAACATCTAACACTTTTCATTTAATATAAGTTAAAGTGATATGCATATCATATGGCTGTTACTGAATATGTCACCAGCTCTTCCAGCTGTTACACAATCTTTGTAGCAAATAAGCATAAATAAGAGCGCTATGTTCTGACAAAGGAACGTATATAAAAATATCTATCGGTTACTGACCAAATAAGTTTTAACATATCGGCCGAAAATCCAACATTGTGCATCTCTAAAGGTTTAGAAGGTGGACTGCTGTTTAAGACATCAATCATTTTGGTCTTGACTTTGTTTGGACAGGTTGTTAGCTCACCAATCTACACTTTTATTTTTCCAATCAAGGTCAAGGTTTCTTTAATATCATTCGCTACAAATGTGGTACATGTGGTGGAATGAAAATGTGTACACAGGGTCCCAGTTACATCCAACAAAAGGAGGTTGTTCAGAGCAATCTAGTAGGAACTGGCATTTTAAGCAAAAATACTGAATTCTGAATTTGACATTAGATTTTTCTTTGAGCATCCAACTTGCACTAATTTCTGCTTTTCACAACACGTGCTCATTTCCTTCCTTTACTCAGGCAGGGCTAATTAATAATGCACAAGCAGCAAATTGTTTAAAAGCAGAGAAAGTAGTGTTAAAGAGCGCTGATCTCAGCCGGTTGCTTCATGATTTAGGACTGCTGCCTGTTGTTTTTTGGTTAAAAAAAACCCGATACACAAAGTTTACTTGTCTCATGCTCTGCAGCTGAAAACCCTTTTAACAAAACAGGCTTCATGCACAACAAGGTGTGCTGCTGCTAATCCTGCTAGCTGGGGACCTTTCTGTTCATTTTAGCCAGTCCAGTAAATCATAGTGCAGAGGAAACACACCAGTGGCCATTTATAATAGTTTCAAAATAAAATACCACGACAAACCCAGAACCTGGCATGCTCGGAGTTATTTTTCTCTCCCTTTATTTTGGGAGGAGGGTAGGCGGTAGGTGTTATCGAAAAAAGCCCACCTGGAAACAACCATTAGGAAACACTGGTGCGTTACACCCAGATGCCAGAGCTTTAAATACACAAATTTTAAAAAGACGGTTGTGATAGTCGCACTAATTCTATAAAACTCTACCATTTTAACTAGACGTCAAATATTTGTTCATCACTGCCCATCGTTGCTACTACTATAAATTCTTTATATAACCTTTCCACAGAACCTTATTTTAAAGTATTTTCTTATCAAGTCAAAACTGCCTGACAGAGGCTGTAACCGCATCAGCTTTTGTGTTCGAGATAAATAAGAGTATTTCCTGCTAGTCAGGAAATAAACTAGCTACATGGTTTATTAAAGCTTTATAATGGGATCTCTGCAGGACGGTCGTAAAAACATGATTCAAGCAGTAAAACTTCATAGATCCACCACACGTTCCAACTTGTACCTGTAAAGGTGCACATCCTCAAACGACTTGGTGTTGTTGATAGCAAACACACACAGGAAGCCCTCTCCTGTCCTCATATACTGGTCCCTCATGGCGCTGTACTCCTCCTGACCTGCGGTATCCAAGATGTCCAGCAGACACGTCTCTCCATCAATCACCACCTGCTTTCTGTACGAGTCCTGCCAACACAATAACAAATACCATCAGTCTGTGGCAGACACCTGAATATAACCGACTCAATCACCTGAGTCAGGTCTGATCTAGTAATTACCTCTTTATAATGAGATTTATTTTAAATAAAGAAGAAGAAAAACAGTCATCAGGTCCTTTATCAAGATGTGAACCACTTATAATCCAATACTTAGAAGATGCAGTGAATTGGATTAAAAAAAGTACAAAAGTGAGCGTACATCTTTGCAGTCCTAATATTTATTTAGTTTACGCTCTTCTATAGCCGCTTGTTTTCTAACATTTCTCAGGAACACCTTTGGCAAATGCCGAGTCAAGTTATGAACAGGTGAAACAAGCTGAGCAACGTGTAAATTATTATTTATTAGGATAAATAAAAAGTGTCAAGTCTCATCAAATACTGAAAGTATATTGCTGTTTGAAAAGGGCCTCACAACTCATTATGTTTACAACCTAATTAAGAGCTATCCATATATCCTTTATGAAGCTAGTCTTGCTGTGAAATGGTCCCATGCTTTAAAACTTACTGAAACCTGAATATTTTTGAGCCACTAACCAGTTCATGTTACTTGGCATTTTTTTATTTTTTAGAAACGGATTCATAACCCGTTTGTGGTAGTTTTGAAAAAAGGTGAGAAACAACAAAGAAGTAGAGTACTATTAACGTTTAATTAACAATGAGAGTGGGGCGGGTGTGGTTGTAGCTCACAAAAGCTGCTCGTTGCGCAAGATCTTTGCTTAAAACGTCAGCCTTATCATCTGCTGGCGTCAACTCTTACACTGGATGTATTTAAATGAAACGTTGAGAAAGTAATTACATGGTACATCTGATTCACTTTAGGAGTTTTATCTAGATCAAGACGGACGCCACAGCTAATTGACAACCTATGTAGTTATTTTTTAAGTTACTGTGCTATAAACTGACGTAGAAATAGCTGAGAGTCGCTCACAGCATGAAAACTGGGGTGAAAGATGCATTCCTGCAAGAAATGCTAAATCTTCTATATAATATTTTGTGTATATATATATATATATATATATATATATATATATATATATAATTTATAGGAGAAATGGTTGACCCTAATGGAAAACTCCTAATTAACAGAATGAAATAGGAAAAATTCATGTAGAAATAATGAGATAAATGCTAATTTAATTAAAAACACAAATATATGGAAATATAATAAAGAAAAATGCTAAATGAAATAGTTTTTTTTGTTTGTTTCTCATCTTAATTTGGTTTGATGGGATTAAATAGGTGGTTTTATTGCATTTATGCTTCAGCCATCTTAACCAGAGTAACACCCAGTAAGTTTCCAGTATGGGGACATATTTCCCAGCAGTGTCTTTTAAAATCCCACTCAGATCAGTAACGTGTGGATGAGGGTGAAGCCCACACATGGCTGAGCAGATGGAGAACCGGGCGGTGTCTGCTGCGTGTTAGCCGGGGTTCTCACCTCGATGGTGGGATCGTACTCGTCCACGAAGTGGTTCTGGATGAGCTGGATGGTGAGAGCGCTCTTCCCCACACCTCCAGCACCGACAACCACCAGCTTGTACTCGGTCATACCTGCAAACAGGCCGAGCCAACAGGTGAGCCTCGCTGCTAAAAGCCGTGATTTCGTAACCCCATTGGGTGATCATTAAAGAGCTCCTCCCGGCACCGACTGACAGACATGGCGAAGAGACTAACCCAGATTTATCCCGGTGACACGGTTTTATACCAGTTACCTCATCTAAATCACTCCCAAATCCCTGTGAATGAGTATTTATATTAAAATATCACAAGTTCTTACCTGTTTGTGGGACTTGTAACTCAAATGACAGATGACTTTCCGACAGATAAATGAGATTAGCTACATAACGTTAGCCTGAGATTATTTCCTTGTTTAAAGCGCTGATAGAAAAGCTGCAGTATCTGACAACTTGCGTGTCAGGCTAGAGAAGCGCAATTAAACACAAACCGAGTACCTGTGAGTATGCTAAGGCTAAAATAAAACCTTAAATTAAAATTACAATCCAGAGTATGTGAGGCTTCCTACTTCTCCATTGTGGTTCATTGTAAGCGAAGCGTTTACGCCTTAATCATCTCGTGAATCCACCAATGCGAGCAAAAAGTCAGAGACAGACGTTTCATCCATCCAATCACAATAGAGATATTATTGACAACCCCGCCTACATTTCACAAATTCATCCAATCACAGACTGGTACATCTTTAACTGGGCGCGGCTTCTACGCAACCTTCACTTTACTCGCAGTTCATTTGTAAATTTTGCGTAAATGGCGGACAGATTAACTAAAACATAAGCGTAGCAGCAAAATAAACGTATATTACTATATGTTTTTAATCACATTCCCTTTGTGAAAGCTAGCGCACTCTAGCTATTTGTTTAAAGAATTTTAGCGGAACATTTACAGTGTGTTTGACTCGATTCTGAGTTGGATGGACAATTACTGCCATCTGGTGGTGACCTGCGAGCGCTGCAACTCGGCCTTCGCCCTTAGCCAAAAAGTCATGTCAACTTTATTTATAAAATACATTTAAAACAGCGGCTGTTACCAAAGTGCTTAACAGAACAATTATCAGTAACGATGTATATTTATAATCTATAATAATGAAACCAAACTTAATGCTGTTTTGTTGAATGCACAGTCACAAAGTTAAAGTGACACCTACATGGAGTAATTTGTGTTTGCTCAGTAATCCAGGTAAAAATCCAACAATGTTCAGTCAGGTCAGCTGGATGGTTTCTTTTTTTTTGCTGAGAAGTTTTGTCCTTTTAATCTGAGGAGCCACCAACAAACTGAATCCCACAAACAGCACACTCCCATAGTAGTTGTTTAAGTACTTCAGTTTTTATCTCACCAAAGAAGAAAGATGAAAAAAGTTCACACTACAAATATATAACAACATTAACAACCACTAGAGCGAGGAATAGCTTCTACCCTGAAGCTTTTAGACTCATAAATCCATAACCAGGATAATTACTGTAAAAATCACTTTATTTGATGATATGTGACTGCTGATTATCCATGCTGCTAATCTCATGCTGCTGATTATCTCATGCTGCTGTATTCATTCATCCCCACAGACTCAAGTACTGGCTGCTGTTGATATGCCATACTGTTTTACATTATTAGTGTTTAGCGTGTATCTTAGATCTTTTGGCGTGCCGTTTGGCGTTCGTTTAGCGCAGGGGTGTCAAACTCACTTCCAAAAGGAGATCAAAATTAAAACCTTTTTCAAACTAAGGGCCAATTTCAGAATCTACATCAACTCAAATCAGATACCCAGCATCTTTTCTTGGTCACAGGTTCCTCAACAAGAGTGATTGGTCTCATTTGATGTTCTCTGTTGTGCTTTCAACATGATAATCAAAGATTACTGAAAAAATTCAAGAGTTAGAAGTATTTTACGTTTCACATATAATCGTGGGGGCCAGATAAGATGTCAACGAGGGCCACATTTGGCCCACGGGCCTTGAGCTTGACACTTATGGTTTAGCGTATATCTTAGTGTAGATCCTTATTTCTTCTTGTTTCTTCTTTACACTTTATATTTTTGCTATTGTTGGGTGCAACTGGGACCCTGTGTACATAATTTTGTTCCACCTCATGTACCACATGTGATGAGAATGACAATAAAATTGACTTGACTATATTCATAATCTTACTAAAAAAATAAACTCTACTGACCCCTTGTGGTTACACCGCGGAACAGCAAACATTAACGTAAAATCTTGCCACTTCCGGTATGCCCTTTCAAAATAAATTCCACCCTGAGCTTTATGAAAAGTATTATAAAAATTATTTTGATGATAAAATTACGAAAATGTGTACACTTTAACTTATTTTCTAATACATTTTATGTGTTATGAAAAGCAATAAAAGTGTGAATTATGAGAAAACCACATAAATATTTAAAAAAGCAGTGCATCACCACTAATTGAAAGACTCATTATACCTTCACAGTCTTGCATTTCACTGGACACACTTTTACACACACAAGAAGCTTCATGATGCCCCACCCTCTCCCTCATCCTCCTCACTCCCCTTGTCTTTGACGTGCATGTTTCTCCCACACGCTTCCCACGGAGTGCATCTGCTCTCCTATCTAATCATTGCCTAAAATCACAGCGATAATCCTGCATCCATCTGTCCAGAGAGAAAAAGAGAGGAGTACATTGTGCTCTTTGTGTAAAACACTGAACACCCATTTAATGTGTCATAACATTGCAGCACCTGCAGCGTAAATGAAATCACCTCAAATGGCTTAAATCTTTATTTTACACAAGGTATCTCACATGTACATTTTTATACACACATTATTTTTCCTCACATCTTTGCATGTTTGAATATAATCATATCTCTTTTTACATTGATTTCCACCAGGTGACCTCACGTTTCATCAAGGGGGGTCAAGGACAACACTGGAACAGCCATAAAGGTTTAACAGAAAGGAAACTTGATCCAAATATACACTCATACAACACATGAAAATGAAATTGTATTGTTTGTTCATATCCTGAAGACACTGCACCCACTTATAAAAAAAGATTAGACAGAATCATTAATACTTTCATGCACAATGGGTTCACTCTTGCAGTGAATATTAAAAATTGTGCTACTATTCCTCCTGCACTGATTAGCTGTGCACACATAAAGTTAACCTTCAGTGTATTGTTTTGCGTAAAATAAAATAAAAATAAAAAAGAAAGAGAGGCAGGGCTGGAAGGTTGCAGCAGGACTGTGCTCATTAAAACATGCACATCGCACAATGTTTCAGCACCAAAAGTCAACACAACTGCACATTTGCTTTCACACATGCGCACAGTCAAAAAACCCACCATCACAGACATGACTGACATTTATAGTAAAACGGCAGCAAATAAAATTCAAGACACAGAAGGAGAAGACAAAGAGGCAGAAACACATTCAGAGAAAAGCTTGAAGAGGAGGTTTCTCACATTCCGAGGCCTGGGAATATTAAAACGATTGATTTGTTCTTGTTAAGAGGCGAAACAGTGAATCCACTTTCACACTCTGCCTGTTGTTCTGGGCAAAGACTCTGATGGTGGCGACCACACCAAATGGGAACTAATAAGTTTCAGATGAGTAGTCAGGACATGTTCATCGTGGTTCATAAACCAGGCTGGCCTAGTTAAGGTCTGATCCTGGTTGCACACACACATTGAGGAGAGCATGTTTCAGCAAAGATAACAGCTTTACTGAAACTGTAAAATGGATTATTTTCTCATAAATTTGAGCATTGTCAGTGAAGCTTTTGAATATGACCGACTTCTGTCTCCATCATCAACAACAATGAAAACAACTGTCACAGCTAGGCCTGTCACGATAACAAATTTTGCTGGGCGATTAATTGTCTCAGAAATTATTGCGATAAACGATAATATTGTTGGAAATTTGACAATAATTAATTATTGTCAAATTTAAGATGAAATGTTGGTTAATTTGTTTTGTGTGTAGTACCGTTTTTGACCACCGGATGGCAGTATAAGACTGTTTGAACCGAAAGATGGATAGTGAGGGAGCAAGCAGCGTGTCTCTTTAAGAAAAATGAGAGGGAGGCTCCTTGATGTGACATGGGATGTCTTTCTTTCCTTTTTTCGGTTCTCAAAATGACAAACGCTCGGTGTGGTTTGAACTCTTTAGCATAGAACTTTTCACACTAAGCTTTTAGTAATAAAAAAAAAATCAGTAAACAAGTTTTCAGCTTCTTTTTGCAGAGAAAAACAACTTTTTACATGAAGGCATGGGTTTCAACTGAATTTTGGAGCTTCGACAAGACGGAGGTTTTTTTCCCGAGGTCGGCCTGTTAGCTTAGCTCGTACCTTAGCCTCTCAACATAGCTGCTTTTAACGATCCAAAAACACGATTTTGGATGGTTAAAACAGATTTTAAACAGAAAAGGATCAGTAAAGAGCACCGGAGTTGAGCCGTGTCTTCAGTAAAAAGGGAGCAACACAAAGAAACGATAAAACCGATAAATGAAAATGAGGTAGATAATTTTCATTTATCATACGATTAATTGATTTATCATTTATCGCGACAAGTCTAGTCACAACATATATAAAAAACAAGATTTTACTCAGTCGTTAAATCATTGTTAAGATTTGTTTCAATAACTCTTCATATGATTTTTAGCTACACAATTACCAATCTAACTTTTCTGGGCACAAATATGATCAATTCAACTGGAAAACTGAAAATGGCCCAAAACAGTTGAATAACTTTGCCAGGCGTGCATGTGGTGCTGTAACACAGCCACAAAAATGCACCAAAAAGAGGAAAAGTGGCCTGGAGCGTGCGCCTAAACTTGCATGCTAGGTGCAAAAGTTGGGTCAGTTTCATTTTCCGTCTACAGTGATACACCGAAATGCCATTTCTGGAAGGACACAAGGCTGAAATGATCAAAATAAACTTTTAGCATATTCACAAAAATACATTCCCATGTAGACAGCCTCTTTGTGTGTATACTACTCCAGATATCTTATTAGATGGGCTTTTTTTCTTCTTCGAAAATTGTCTAATTTTTTTCTTCTTCCTCAAACATCAAAAACACTGAAATACCCAAACCAGGCCACTAGGTGGTGAGTACTCTGCATCAAGAAGAAGAAACATGTTTCAAGTAAAATCTGACTGGGCTGCTACTGCTAACAATAAAACACAAACTGCATCAACAATGTTGCCTCCAAAATGTCTCAAAACGTCCACATGGGCATTAATTTTTAATTTTTTTGCATTTTTTGCCCAAAATTTCACCAGAAGTTTGTACAACCACTTCATTCAGTTTGATCCCACGTTAAAACATTGCATTTATTTATTATTATTTTTGCAATTTTGTGTTTTCTAGTCCCCAACAGGTGCAGCCCAGTGAGAAATGACTTGATTAATTTAGCCTGGTGAAAGATTTTCCCAAAGTGCATTATTTTTCTGTGATACTGTTCACAGTTTCCTCTCAGTTAATAACCATTTCAGCACACAATCAAAGACAGACACAGAAAAACAACAACAAAATAAATTAATAAATAAAACAACAACAACAAACAGGCCTCTTTTGTTGTTTTGGTTTCTAACGAATGGGCATTCTAGGCTTCTACATACCGCTTGTCCAAAATCAAAATGTTAAATCCTCAATTTGTAAAGTGAATTGTAAAAGTACGTTTTGTTTTTTATTCAAAATCTCAGCAGCAAAAATACAGAAACAAAAAAAAGAGATTTTGAACATATCAGGAGTAGTGAGTATAGGACCTTAATCTCCAAACTGTCACTCTGCAAAGGGTTTTCTTAGTAAAACGTGAGAAGAGGAACAACAAATTAAAAGGCTCATAAATATATAATTAACACAAGACGAAACCAGTCACCAACAATACGACTTTTATCAATACAATCTGAAAGCACTGAGAGCTTCACGTGTTGTTTTTAATGGTTCAGACAGTTTTAATCTCTAATCTGTCACTCAGAGATGTGCTTCTTCAGCAGAACAAGCAAAACAAAAAAAAACCTAACGTGGACATAGATCTCCTGACCAATCACAAAGCAGCCTGGAGAAGAAAGGAAGTGTTATGGAGGAGTTCAGATGTTTCAAAGTAATACTGCATGATTTCCACTTTGACACCTGCATGCCCACTGACCCCGCCCCCCCAACACACACACACACACACACACACACACGCACACACACACACAGCTCGAACAAATCAGATGCACACTCATGACATGTGCAGTTGTAAATGTCCTGCTCTCCTACAATCCTTCTCCAAAACAAATCTTCTACTTTATCCTGTTTTCTTTCTGCTTAAAGACAAATCTTGTCGGTCTTTGTTGTCATCTTCTCCTCCTTCATGCATGTAGGAGTTGTATCCAGGCGGCTGCACATACTCCTCCGACTTGTCCCAGTCTGTCACCCATCCTGCTCCTCCACCGCCCCCTCTGTTGGAGTCCACCACCGGCTGGCTCATGGCCCCGTACTGCCCTCCTCCCCGGTACATCTCCTCGGTCTCATTGGCCAGCTCGTCCTCGTTGATTATGCCACACTTCTCCTCGCTCGTGTCCTCTATGTCTGCCCACCACTGCTTCTCTCCCGATGCAAAGATTCCTGAACGAGAGGACAAATAGAGTCAGCATTTAGGTTCCTAGAGCGTTCCTCGCAGAACGGCATGGGGGGGCTCACCGTAGAACAGCACTCCCCCGTAATGAACCAGGGAAGCTATGAGGAAGACGTACTGCCACTCTTCACGTGTCTGAAATGATTTCAAGGGAAGTGATTAATTTAGTCCTCACAGTTACTCTTGACTCAGCTGATACAGGTAAATGAATCACCTTGTGTTTGGTCATGGCGCCCACAATGAGAGGACACACCATTCCTGACAATGTCCCCACGCCGTTAGAAATACCCATCAGGATGCTGGCGTATCGAGGGGCAATATCCAAGTGATTGACGTTAAACCCTGAGAGAAGAAAAAAAAAACAATCTTAAGATCAGTCTTATACATAATCAGGTCACATTCTTTTCAGCAGGTTAGTCTCATTGAGTCACGAGGACTCATTTACAAGGGAGACCTGTTAGACATGTGGACCCAGAGATCTTTGAAGTTGTAGTAAGTCAGCCCATCTCGGAGCCCCAGCTAGGCGTCAGTACCCTGGTGTACGTGACCATTGGACACATGTGGACCAACGCTGCTGCAAAACGATCCCGTCCTCATCAACCTGCTTACCGACATTATGTCAGAGAAACGGAGAACCACCAACATCAACCTCAAAATCCCTTCCACTAATGAGACCTGAGAGAATGATATTTCCAGCCTGAAGGAAAACAAAGGCACCATCAAGTCTGAAGAACACGGAGAGCTTCTGTTTGAAACCAGAGAGAACTTCTTTGGTTTTTCAGAAGAGGACATCAACAAGGAAGTGGGGTTCACCGTGATCACACTGAAGGCAGTGAAAGTAGCCGTCAAGAGGGCGAAGGAGCCCTTGCTCCTGACGCTCTGCAGTTCCTCCAGTGACGAGCCGGCGAGCAAAATCATCAACAGCAAAGAGAAATCTTTACCCATAACTGAAGAGGGACCCTACATGGTTCTGGACATGGAGTTGAATGAAGGAATTGTCAGCCAGCCCATCATCGAGTCCAAGGATAGTGTCCCTGGTTAGATACACGCCAACATTGCCTCCCTTCCCCCACGGTACATGACACTGATATGAGGCAAATCAATGTCTCTAAAAACTTGTTGCTTACTTGCCAAGACTGAACAGACCATTACCACAATACATGAAAAGACAATTTATATGAAGCTGTGCAAATAAATCCTTTGAATTCTATGAGATAATTTTCTAACGTGGTTTAAAATAAATTTGAATTCACAATCTAAAAACCAAGGGTTTCTTTGTGGTTTTGAGTGACTGCTTTGCTTTTTGTAATATTTAGGGTAATTTAAGTGTCCTGAAAAACAAAGTATGCAGATAATGTGGCTGTTCAGGTTTTAATATCTCATCTTTCTTCTGTGGGTGCTCACATTGGACTAGATCCTGTTGGTGTTTACCATCTCTGTAACAAGTCATGTTTGTCGAGTACCTGATACCTGGTACTTACCTTGTACGTACACAGTAAATACCAAGTAAGAACACCGTAAGAATTATGTAAATACCAAGTAAGATCACTGTAAGAAGTATGTAAATACCAAGTAAGATCACTGTAAGAAGTATGTAAATACCAAGTAAGTACACTGTAAGTACCTGGTACATACCAGGTATGTACCTGGTAAGTACCATTTATTTGTCTGGTTATAAGCCAGTAAGTACCCTGTTAGTACTACGTAAATACTGAGTAAATACCAGATATGCATCATGTCATTACCCTGTAAGTATGCTGTAAGGGCTTGGTACCTACCATGTCAGTTGCAGATATGTACTTGGTAAGTACCCTGTTAGTACATGGGATATAACCCTAAACTTATACAAACTAGATACCTAGTATGTATCCTGTTAATAGCAGATACATACTCAGCATGTATCATATACGAGGTATCAGTTACTAGCTACCAGATACTAAATAATCATGTACGATGATAACAAATATGCGCCTTGTAAGTACCAGGAAATTATCTGGTATGTACTAAGAACCAGATACCAGGGACCAGGTACCATGCTTGTTCCTATAAGTACAAGAACTGTAACAAGTATGTACCAGGTAGCCTGTAAGTACCAGACATATTCCTTGTAAATACCAGGCACATATTAAGTATGTACCAGGTACCTGGTATGTCTCAGGTACTCTATAAGTTCCAGGTAGTTATCAGAGGCCAGGGTTGAAGGCATGGACCCTGTGCATACCAGGTACAGTATGTATCAGGTACCAGATATGTGCATTGTAAGTATTAGGTAGAAACTAAGCTGAGTTATGATTTGCTATAAGACAACTAGCTCTTAATGCTTTGTCAGTATTTTGTCCAGTGTTTTATTTTACTACTCTTTTGTTTGTCGGTTATAGTAAACTGCATTTATACAACTAGTATCTCCAAGAAGCATATGGGAAAGAAGCAAGGGAAAAAGACAGGTTGCTAGTTTAATTCTGGTGCTACTTTGTTTTTCACAATGGAATTCAACATTGTTTTTCAGTTTTATTAAGACAAAAGAAAACAACATTATCTTGTGAAAAACATCTAAATTAGGGGTGTGTTGTCCAAAAGATAAAGTCAAATCATCAAAACTAAAGCCCACAATCTGAATGGTGTTACGGTGCTTCTGTCCATCTTTTATTCCCAGTACTCAAACAGAAGTCAACTGGACTTAAAGATGTTTCACCGTTCATCCAAAATTCTTTTTCATTTCTAATAAACTGGTGGGGAATTTTTGGTTTGTGACTTGTTGCTGGGACATAAACCCAAAACAGCTCACATGTTATAATGTCTGCTGGATGACAGAAGGTCTACATATCTATCAACAGCACGATAAATCAGGCTCAACCAGTTTCTTTGGAACGTCATTTACCTGAGATGGCAAATCCGCTGAATCCCACTGCGAGCACCAAGAACGAGATGGCAATCACTTTGGTGTGAGAATATCCCACCACCAGCAGTAAGGTGGCCTCCATCCCAAAACCTGAAACATGGAAAAAACCTCGTACATTAAGTCAACACACAGGGGTTGATGATGAAGCAGTGATGCATTATGAATACGTTAGAAATGCCATATTTGTTTTCTTTTTGGCTCACGCTGATATAACCTTTTAGCTGTGCTAAAATATTAATATGATTGTAATCCTTGCAGCTGCTGCACTTCAAACCCCTTATCAGACGGTGCTGAGGGGAATAATATTGCTGGTAAAATATAACATAATTACCTGTATGGTCATTAGAGAAACAAAAAACACTCTTCTTAAATTTTAAGTGATATTTCTCATTTCACTTTGATGTCACGGATTATTTTATTTATTTGGGACAGCCTAGTATAAGGCAGCCACCTATTATTATCCACCTGACAAAGGGTTTCTTAAATTTATATCTTACTCTTCCATCAACTTTAATGTGGCCCGAACTGTGATGTGTACCCCCACAAATTTCATATCAAAACGACTGGCTCATCACAGAGATGTGTGCTATTACGTTTATTGGCATTTTGAGTTACCATGGCAATGCAATTTGCAATCAAAGACGCCATTTTTATTAGTCGTTTTTCATAGACTGGTTGCAAATCAAATATCTAAGATGGCCACTTGAGCTAAAAAGGAAAAATACTGTAAATCAGCCATTGTAGAAATATTAAGCTGATATTTGGTGTGGTAGTAGCTGAGACCAATGCCCAATAAACAATGAAAAATAAAAATCAAGATGGCCACCAAAGCTCAATTTAAATGGCTTTAAGTCAGCTATTTTTATACATAAGTAGAGCTGAAATTTGGTGTGGGTATAGCTGAGAACCTTCTCCGTCATATACTGAATCCAAATCAAACAACCAAGATGGTCACCATAGCTTAAAAGAAAAAAATGACTTTAACTTGTTGATATTTTGCCATTTTAAGCCGAAATTTGATACAGTGGTAGCTGAGCATGAACCCCAACATATAATACTGTCAAATAAAAATTAAAAAATGGCCGCCATGTGGCTGTTCCCATCAAAGTTTCTCCAGGAACTTTCTAGTTGATACTTAATATTTCAAACTCTGCTGTAAATTCAGTGTCTGACGTTAATCCACTTCTGTTTGGTTTACTGGTGGATCATTTATTTTCAGCTTCATAGCTTCAGTTTTCTCTTATTTCCTCAGTTTCATGCTCCTCTACGGATCATTTCTTTCGTGTGCGACAGCCTCACCTCCGCAGTTCATCATCTTTCTGACGTTGGTCGTGGTCATCAGGTTGTGGCTCCTCAGGTAGTCGGCCAGCTGGCCTCCGATGGGGACGATGATCGTCATCACCAGATGGGGCAAGGCTGACACTATGCCCACCTGAAAGCAAAAACAACAAAATAAATTAAAAGCAGCAGAAATATGTAGGAGTGAAACAACATGTACAAGTTGGAAACAACAATACACTGGTGGACAATGTAGGTTTATTCTAAGTAATTACTTTTTAAAACTAATAATAGCACACGATGGAAAGTAATACCAAATTTGAGTTTTTATTGCAATTGAAGTTGGATAGATTTCTTATTCCCTCTGACCCTTTTCAGAATATTATTTTACAAAATAATAATTTCAGTAGTGTCCTTATTGTTTAACCCATAAATCAATAATTAGTTTAGACAGCCTTAAAGCTCATGAAATATATTCATAAATTCAAATGTTACAATGAAAAGTTATTCAAACTTGAACAAAATCCTTTTTGTTTTATTCACGTTTATTCTTCTGAAATCCCAAATCCAGAACACCAGATGCTGGTGGAAATGTCACTTCTGAAATATCTGAAAAAGTATTAAAATTTACAAGAAACATCTGGATAGAAAAAGTAATTTTACCTTAGTTGTAAAGTAAAATAATAAAAAATACATTTCACTTTCCACTAAAAACTACAGAGGGATAATAAAGGTGTGTCCGCTGATTACTTTATGAAAGTGTCAATAAAATCCAATCCAGCGATTCAGGAGATATTTTGCTAACAAACAAGGTTAACACCAAAAGTTAAAGCCAAAGATTTAAACAAAGATCTTGTGCGATCTTTGGAGTCAAATTATGTGTCGGGGATGACACTCAGCTACTACCACACCTAATTTTTGTGCTGCATCTGTATAATTGAGTTATAGCCATTTTTGTTTTTCTAAAGTCACCTAGTTGTCATTTTAATTGGACTGACTCCAAACATTAATCAGTCGTGGATGGACCTCCAACGTTTCTATCCTTGAACAAAAAGTTTCACAAAGCATGTTCACACGAGTCAGAGCAACAAAATGAGCTCAAATGAAATGCTCCTGATCTTACCTTGCTGATCTCAAAGCCAAAAACTTCTTCAAAGTAGGCAGGTTGGCTGATGAGCAGCAGGTAGAAGGTCCAGCTCCTGCAGAAGTTGGCCACAATGATGGCGTAGACAGGCATGGAGGTGAAGAAGTGTCGCCAGGGGGTTTTAAATTTCTGCCACCAAAGCAAAAATACATTTACTGACTAACTAAGAACTAAAGAGTCTGTTGAGAGTATGTATGCGAGGAGAATTTTACAATTTAATATCTATACGATAGTGAGTTTAGTCCTAATGTAAAGTGGCCTACACACATGGAGGGGATTGAGAAACGCTGCAGATTCTCCGATTGCATCTTCAATGTACTTCCTCTCCTCTGGGGTGATCGTTGGATGAGCTGCGGGGCTCTCGTACGACACCAGAATCCAGAACATATACCAGAATATCCCGAAGCTACCTGGGAGAGGAAGAGCGAAGATAACGAAGAAGACGAGGAGAAAAGAGGCAGAGTGGGGAGCGAATATAAGGAGGAAGGAAGAGAGGCAACAAAAGCATGTTGATTCCTCCAAGGTGAATGTTGCAGAAACAGTGGACTTCAAAGCAAGTTTGAACAAATAAAGGTAAAGTAATAAATAAAGTAAAGGCATAATCTTATAAGGTTGATGTTGGTACTAACCATAGACATAAAATACAGAAGGCCACCCAGTGTATTGCACCAGTATCCCAGCTAAAGGCATGGCCACCACTGCCCCTGCATAGGATCCTGGGAAAACACAAAGATAACGTTTTGTTTTCAGCCTAATTACAGCAAAGTTTTTGCTACTTTAATGCCTAATAATTATATTAAAATCTACTTAATGAGTTATTAATAGACTTGAAAGTTTTCTTTGAATTTAAGACAAAATGTCAAAAATCTCCCATCTCCATAAAAAGATGTCTTATTGTTTCTGGAGTGTGGGTGTTAGCGACACTTTGCAGCGAGATGCCAAGACCTTACCGCAAAAGGCCGTCGTGGCTAATCGACTTCTCTCAAGGGGAGGCGCCCACTTGGCCCAGATCCCGTGGCAGGCTGGATATGAAACACCCTGACAGAAAACAAGTATTCACGAAGAAGCTCCAACATGTGGACGTCTACGGAGAACACCGGTGCACAGACGTACACATCTTTACCTCAACTAGGCCCTGGCATATCCTCACAAGTATGACGCAGCTGTAATGGCAGCGAGCCGCAGACGGAATCAGCATGTTGAGCGTGGACGTGGCCACGATGGCAAAACCAAACACTCTTGAACACACAAAAGACAAAGAAACCGCCTGAGATTTAACCGTCAGCAGCCTTACAAGTATGACAACAATATAGGCAGTTATGTGGTTGCTAAGTGGATTAGCTGTGGCAACCAGGGGTGGAAGTAATGAATTACAAGTACTTTACTGTAATTAAGTAGATTTTTGGGGGTACTTGTACTTTTATGAGTATTTCTTTCAAGTGTGCAATTTTACTCATACTGAAGTACAATTTAGACCATGTAATCTACTTTGCTACTTTTAGAATCAGAAGTTGCTACTGAGTACGGTCACAATTTGAACTCATATTCAAACCATTCATCTGCATCTTTGTAGCCAGTAAGACTCTCAGATCATGAACGCCCCAATTATCTACAATGTAAGCTAAGGACAACGCCGTAGAGTAGAGAGTCATTTATGGACCGAAGATTTGGAGAAAAAGCCAAAATGGAGACAGAGGACAAACTGTCAACAGAGAAAATGAAGAGGTAAAGGCTGAGGACGAGTGCCCGTGAGGAACTTTTCATGTACAGAGGGTGAAAAGGAGACAGCGTCCAAATGCAAACTGTGTTTGATCTCTACGGTGATAGCAGCTTACAAGACTTCAGCATTTAATCTAAAAAAACATTATATCGGTATATGAGGTTTTACAACCACCTGTATGATATTGTTTTTTCATTGTTTGTATGTGTGGGTTATTAGTTTGGCTAAGTATGAAAAGATCTTAGATGTTGTCACTGCCATCGGTTTAACTGGTACTAAAATAAGACAGAGCTTCTGATCGTCTGAGAAATGTGCTTTGAATGTAGCGATTATATACAGTAAGTCAAACTGAATGACTTCTACTGACAACGCACTAAAACATCAATCAGTTAAAACGTAATTAATACTCAGAGTAGTTTTTGAGAACAGTACTTTGTACTTTTACTTAAATATTTTTATAACACCAGTACTTTTACTTGTGATTAAGTACAATTTAAGCAGCGTAACAGTGCTTGTACTTGAGTACAAATCTTCAGTACTCTTTCCACCTCTGGTGGCGACCATCTTGAATCAGACTGACCCCAAACTTTAATCGGTTGTAGGTGTAATTTTAGAGTTTTATTAAGAGGTTCGTGAGATATTTTGCTAACAGGCAGTCAAATGATGGCACACACACACAGACATAGGTAACTACATGATAATTTGTGTTTTTAAAGTGATTAATATTATTACCAACAACTGTTTTTTTTTATCTGTTTTTAAGACTTAGCCCAATATTTAAGAAATCAACCAGATGAAACCAGTTTAGATCACTGAGCTGACAGTTTTGGACACAGTTTTCTGTGTGAACATTAACCTGTTGGCAGCAAATTTTTGACATATAAAGCCACCGGGGATCTGTGTGACGATGTATCCCCAGAAGAAGGAGCCGTGGATCATCCCCACCGTCTCTGGGTCCCAGGTAAACTGTGCCGCCTGGAGGGAAGAACGTTTGAGGTTTACATCCTCCTTCATAAAACACTCTGCAGCACTTGAGATCTCAATGTGACAAATGGACACCAGAAGTCTCCTTTAGCTCTACTCACCACAAGCACTTCCTTATTGCCTTTGTAGACGGTGTGATCGTTGACCATACTAACGATGGCAACGCCCAGGTTGCATCGGATCCCAAAGGAGATGCAGAATCCCAGACCAGACAGGATGGCGATGATGTAGCGCCTGGGCAGGCCGAAGCAGGTGCAGTCCACCACCGGCAGCTCCTTCTCCTCCACCAGCTCAGGTCGACCCTCTGCTGACAGCTCGATGGTTTCTCCATTCGCCTGCGGTTTCTCTATCAGTCTGTGAGCAGAGAACCGTGAGCCAAGAACAGAGAACCGTAAGCCAAGAACAGAGAACCGTGAGCCAAGAACAGAGAACCGTGAGCCAAGAACAGAGCTTTAGAGAAAAAAAAATAGTCAATCCCGATAACTTCAGAAATATCTGAGTTTTTAATTTATTTTTAGGAAATAATCCAGCAATTGTGTTCCTTATAATCTACAGCCAGACATGATGTTCACTGTGGATAATTAGAGATCTTAGAATCTAGTTCTGTAATTTGGAATCACTAAACATGCTAGCTTTTCTCTGATGACACCAACATCAATTATCACTGAAATGAAAACGATAAAACTGATTGAAATGTCTTCAAGAAGAGCAGCTGCATAAACTAATGCTAATGGGTGTATTTTCTAAGTACAATGTTCCTTTTTCTGTCTTTCATCCTGCTGCTGAAAGACAGATGTGGACAATACTGTTTTTGCTTGTGTTTAGTTGTGCGTTTTTGTGTTATCTGTTAGCAAAATATCTCACGAACCACTGGGCAATTTTGAATGAAACTTACACAAAGAAATAATTTGATATCTACATCTACAACAACAAAGTTCATGCTCAATAATCCAGGTATACAATCCAACATTTTTCAGTCCGGTCATCTGGACAGTTTCTTTTTTTGTGCTGAAACGTTTCGCCTTCGATCCGGAAGGCTTCATCAGTCAAGGAAGCACACAACACAAAACTGATTCTTCCCCCAATAAGCTTACTCCAAAGTTTAACAAACCAGTTATGTTGGTGCTAAGATGGTCACAAAGAAGCTACGATTTATTTGGATTTACAAAAATTGTACTATCATTTTGTGTAGTTGCAGAGTACCACTGATAAAACTTACTCCAAGTGCTGCTCATTGAACAAGACTGTGCTTGAAACTTTAGCCTTAACTGCTGAAATCAACCCTGTCAATCAATCCTTCTACAGGTGTGCAGTGGAGAGCATCCTGTGCTCCAGCATCAACGTGTGGCATGGAGGCTGCACAGCTGCAGAAAGAAAAGCTTTGCAGAGAGTGGTGAAGGCTGCACAGAAGTCTGTTGAAGTCAGCCTCCCCACCATCACAAACATCTACACCTCCAGACGCAAGACCCCACTCACCCAGCACACACACTTTTTGCCCCGCTCCCCTCAGGAAAGAAGTTGAGGAGCATCAAGTGTAGAACCACTAGACTGAGGAACAGCTTCTACCCTGAAGCTGTTAGACTCATGAATCCCTAACAAGAAAAATCACTGTAATGCCACTTTAATTGGTGATATGTTACTTTATCTGTGCTGCTGATCATCCATGCTGCTGATTTCTTACATTTTAAGCTGCTGTATTCACCCATCTACTCACAACAGACTCATGTTCAGGCTGCTGTTTAATACACCATATTATATTATTATTGTTTAACATGTATCTTAGATCCTTGTATACTGTTTCTTTTTTATATTTTTGTTATTTTGGGGTGTAACTGGACCTTGAGTACACAATTTCGTTCCACCTCATGTTCCACACGTGACGCGAATGACAATAAAAAACCTTGAACCTTGTCTATCTGTGAGCAAAAATTTTCCTGAACCGCTGGAGGAATTTTATTAAAACTCTTGGAAATCCCTGGATGTACATCTATACCTGAATAATCTTTTGGAGTCAACCCAATTCAAGATGGTCGCCACATCTAAAACATTAGCTAAAACAAAAAGGGCTATAACTTAGTCAAGTTTATATTGTGCTAAAATTTGGCTACAAACGAGTCATTTGTCAATATTAAATGATCTCAGTCTAAAACTTTGGCCTAAACGGTGGCGGGCGATATGCACTCCTTCAAGAAATTTATGTTTTACCAAAAGATAAAAAAAAAGAAGGTATTTTTTGATTTCCCTGAAAACAGATGAAAAAATAGAGTATGTGTTATTGTTTGACATATAAAATAATATTTTAATCTCGTATTTTGCCCATATGCGAGTTGTTTCCACGAGTCAAACAGCGGAGTCATGATGGCGACCAGCTGTGAGTCAGATTCACCTCACATCAGACACGGTGCCGTGCTTCCACCGGGTTTCCATTTTAATGTCAGAGCCGGGTTTTTGATCATGTTTCAGTTCACAGCAACAAACGCTCATGTGTCAGACGCCCACTTCTCCTTCTCCTAATCCTGTTAGCCAGTGAACTGGAGAATCACACACACACATACATGAGGACTTGACTCAGGTGAGGACGATAGTTGTGTTTTGTTAAAAAGTTTATTATAGTTGGGCTTCAGTTTGTCTCCAGGTGGGACTTTACTTTCCTACAAACAACACAATTATAATTCTGCTAAAATATTAATGTGTTTTTGAGTGTGATAAATAATTCACTTCAGCTTTAGCACCATATTTTGTCACTTTCTCTGTCTTTTAACCCGTCTGTGTGCTGTTTCATCCACAACGTGTTCAAATTTCCACCTTTTGCTTATGGTTTCCACTCCCTCCCCCACTTTAAAAACCTTAGAATCTATAATCTGCTCATCCGTACATTCAGAGAACATACTGAAAGTAAAAGAAATAAACCAGTGTTTCGGTTTAAACGTCAGTGCAGCGAGAAACGAAACTTGAAGCTCTGATTCCAAAACAACCGAACGGACAACGAAAAAGAAATCCTCTGCTCAAGCGACGATTCTGAATCTGTGAGAGATTAGCGAAGCCGCAGCTTCTCTCTCTCTTTAATCTGTCACAGCATTCAGATTAGGATTACTAAAAATGATTTACTTCCGGAAATGAATATGGAGGGGCAGACACTGGACACGGTTCAAGATGCTTCTCCTTTTGTCACGACACTTTTACGTCAATTTGAATGCTTTAAAAAAAAAAAAACAGCCTTTCTGTTTTATATGTCTTAAATAAAGGTTGCAATGTTCGTGAAAATTTCTGGTTGCCTGACAGATTTAAAGCGGACACTAAAGTTAGTTTCTCAAGTATTGGTCGTAAGGAGCTTGGCTCATTAAAGACACTTTATCTTGTGCATCAAAGGCAAGAAAACTTAAAACTGATGAACTTAAAGCCCTTGAAAGAACGCATATCTGTAAAACTGACTAAGTTTTAGACATTTTTGTGTTGGCCATTGTTGATTAGCCATGGCGGACATCTTGATTTAGGTTAAACCTAATCAGTTGTAGATGTACAATGAATACTATGTCTGTAGTGAGTACTACAGACAAAGAAGGTGGACTCCAACAGTTAACGCTAAAGTATCTGTTGTGAATAAAATAAATCTCAGCTACACATGGATGATTGATGTAACACAGTGTCTGTTGACGCTCAGAATATGTGTCGGGATCAGTCTCAACATCTATTGTACCAAATTTTAGGTCTATATCTGTTGAACTGACTCAGTTAAAGCCATTTTTTTGAGTTTTAGATCAGTCAGCTGTGGCAGCATCTTACATTGTCATAAACCCCCAAATTAATCAGTTGTAGATTTACATCTAATGGTTACTTCCTTCAAGTTGGATTATATTCCATCCAGTGGTTCATGAGATATTTTGGTAGCGGACAAATGCACAGAAGCTTGAATGTTATAAGCATCTGCCTTTAGTTTATTTATTTATTTATTTATTGAATATGTAAAACAAAACAAACAACAAAAAAAAACAGCATGAAGCATGATGTCAAAACTTTTTGTTTTACTTTTTCAAGGGAGTGGCTAAATTTACCAAAATTTCCACTCCTTAACCACTTACATAATCTTACATTGATTACATGTATAATCCATACATATCACACCTAAAGCCATATTTAACCCTTCAATCTATATAATATATATTTAAGTTAACTACAGTAGATTAACAATTATTTCTTTATCTTCACCAAAAAAAAAAAAAAAAAACCTAGCATCAATAACAACAACACCAACAATAATTGAATAATAATATTACCAGTATATATTATATCCAGCAATAATCATATGTTTATATGTAGGGATGCACAATATTGGATTTTTGGCCGATATTGCCAATATGTTAAAACTTATTTGGTAACCAATACCAATACCGATATTTTTTCCCCTAGACCTACTTACAGAGAATACATAGCTTTCTCTGCTGTGGAATTAAAATACTACATTATTCTGCATGGTCTGTCATTTTGGCTTGCTACCAAATGCAGATGCCAAAAAGGGAGCTGAAAATGACATAACATTATATAAATATATCATCTATATATATATATATATATATATATATATATATATATATATATATAT